CTCTTTCTCTTTCCTCTCGTCTTTCTCTTTCTTCACGTTATTCTCCTCTCTTCTTTCTCTTTCCTCCTTCTCCCCTCTCCTCTCTTCTTTCTCTTTCCTCTGTTCTTTCTCACACCTCTCTATCTCCTCTTCTTTTTCTCTTTCTTCTTTCTTTCTTTCTTTCTCGCGGTTTTCCCTCCTCTCCTCTTCTCCTCTTTCTCTGTCAAAATTAGTACCACGTCATGAATTTCGCGAAATTTGGCCAAAACGAAGGTTTACATAATTAAATCAAAGGTTTTCATGGTCAAATTGGTGGTTTTCGTCACAATGTTCGCGAAATTTGGCTAAAAACGAAGGTTTTCATGGTCAAAACGAAGGTTTCATGGACAAATTAGACCATGAAAACTCTAGATCTAGAGTTTTCATGGTCGAATTTGGCTGTTACCAAATTTGAGGTGAAATTTAAGGCCATTTTCGATTTAAATGGTGTGTTTTCTTGTTTTTGATTTTCTTTCTTTTTTCTGAATTTTTTTGTTAAGTGAATTGTTGTGGTTGTGATTTTCGGGTGGTTGTGGTTGTGGTTTTTAGGTGGTTTTAGGTGGGTGGGTTCGGGTGGTTGTTCGGCCAGATTGATTGGTTAAGGTTACAGATCTTAGTTTAGGGTTAGGAATGTAAATCTGGGATAGGTTGGGAGGGTTAAGGTGGTGGTGGGTTTAGGGTTAACACTGTAGATCTGGGGATTGGGGTTAGGTAGTGTATTAAGGTGGTGGGTTAAGGCGGTGGTGGAGGCTGGTAGCGGTGGGGTTGAAGCGAATAACCTGCTTTTTTTTTTTTATTGTGGTAGGTGGTGGCGGTTGGTTTTTCGTACTGGTGGTGGGGCAACTTTTTTTTTTTTTTGGCAAGGGTTCCGTCGGAAATTTCCGAGGGAATTGTGTCCGTTGGGAATTTCCGACGGACTTTTCCGGGTCGAAGAAACCTCTTCCAACGTCTGAATTCCGTCGAAAACACGTTTTCCCACAGAAAATAGGGTGTTTCCTGTTAGATATTTAGAGTGTTGATGGTTGCGTTCGCGACCATGAAGAAGCGCTCGCGCTTGGGAGGCGCGGTCGCGCAGTAGGCGCGCCTAAATCGCGTACCCTACTGGAAAATTCTGACAGTTCAAGGTAGAGTGCCCGCTCTTTCAGATGGCGTGCCCGCGCCATCGTTAGGCGCGCCCGCGCTCCAGTCCGCGCTAAAACCGCGACCCTTCCTGGAAAAATTGGAATTTTGGAAGAACGAGGAGGAGCGCCCGCGCGCAGGGGGTGGCGCGCCCGCGTCTCCTTGCTCGCGCCCGCGCCTCCTCCCTCGTCTTCGGTTTTTTGCGGTTATTCCCTTTATATTGATTTTGGGGCCTTTGTTTTCGATATAGAGAAAACTTCTTCCTCTCTGAATATTTTCCTTCTCTACACCTTTATTGAAGAACTTTGCAAACTCTTCATTAATTCTCTATCATCTAAGTTTATTGTTTGAGAATTTAACCATCTTTTCACACATCTTTGTGCTAAGTGTGTGATGTTGTCTATTGTATCTCAAGGTGAGTTTCCGGTTTCAACCCAAGCTCCGTGGTGGGGGAATTTATCACTTTAGGAAAGTGTATACACACCTTAGACAAGTATCCGGTATAGAAGACTCACGTGGTCATTGAATTTCTCATGTTCTTGGTGGTGTTCGGCTTAGAGTGAGGCAAGTTTAAAAACCTTTCACATTAGTGTTATTTTGTTGTAATTTCTAGATTACATTGTTAATTAAGTGCTTGGTTTGTAATACTACGTTAAGTATTTGGTGTTGTAAATTTCGTTGGAATTTATACACATTCTAGGGTTTGTCCACCATTGTTAAGTGATTCTTGTTGTGTAGAATTGCTTTGTAAACCCTAACATTTCCAACGGAAAAATTCCCTCGGAAATGGTCTGTTTTCTAGTAGTGTCTAATTGCATAGCATTAAATCAATCAATAGGAATTAATCAAAGTATTGACAATCAACAATAATAAATCACCCCTTCATATTATTTACGGATCTCCACGAACTCTAAAAATAAACTACTCACACATAATGAAATCTAAACTAAGCAAAGCAATTAAACAAGACATGATTAATCAAAGCAATTAAATTACTAGAAATAAAAGGGAAGAAAATCGTTACCCAAATAAACGGAAATAATGAATTGCATAAACCATAGAGTGTTGAGAGAAGTACTAATGTAAGTTTAAAACTAAAATCTGGAATTTTAACTAATGAAAGGCGACATTGTCTTGCTTAACAAAAAGCCTATTTAAAATAAAGCTAAGAGTCCTAAACTTAAAACGATGATTAACGTCACTAAACTCTTCAAAACACGCACCCGGAAAGGCGCCTGATCGCCCGGCCGGGCGCGTCTCTAGCTCGCCTCCTTTATCTTCCTCTCCCGGCAGGGTGCGCCTCAGGGAGAGGGTCTTCTTGGCTCTTCCTTCCTCGCCCTGCCGGCGCGCCTCAGGGCGAGGTCACTTCCCGGTCGGGCGAGTCCACTGGGCAACATAGATTCCTCGTTAGGGCTTCTTTACTCGGCCCAATCCGAATATTTTCTTCTACGAAACAAGTCCAATGCCTCGGTTCTTTCTTCTTTGCCGAGCCCTTAATCACCGGCTTGATTACTCTAACGCAGTCCTAGGCTACAACGTATGGTCATATGAATGCGATCCAAATCTAATGCTCGTAATGGCTCAAATAAGTCTTGGAAATGCTCCAAATCCGCATTCTTACAAAATAATAATACCAAAGCTAAGAAAACACTAGAAAACGCATATTAGTAATAAAAATAGCTCCGTAGAGCCAATAATACTCCTAAATATGACCAAGGGACGGGGGTAAATCACTATATAATATGGACATATCAATCATACCAGATTAAATTAGACCAAATCAAACCAGACTAGATAAATTCAAATCACATCAAATAAGCTAAAATAAGACACAAATTCATGATCAATGCGAATTTTCATTAAGTGTTGCAAGACAGATTAAAGTTACTCAATTTTTTTTTTTTTTTAATGTAACCCTAAAAATATTTAAAGTTCCCTTATATATTACAAAAGTTAACATTTTTCTAACATAAATTTTACCCTTAAAAAAATACTTATAATATATTATATTAATCATATTAGTCTGCATAGCATATATCCATTAGAAAGTATACGTTAAATACAATCAAATTCATTACAAATTAAAGTTAGCCTTAAAGGGGTTAAAGTTACCATCAAAGTTGTTAAAGTTATCCTCAAATTGATCGTCTTATAATAAACTAACATAGGTCTATCTTATACAAGATTTATTTAAAATAAGGTGAACTAAACAAGCCCCAAGTGCTGGGTTCTAAAGGGAAGAAGTTAATCATATGATTAGTGAATCGATTTCGTTTCACTACCACAAAATAGAGAATAGATTACGCCACTAAGGCACTCTTCTGAGGGCCGGGGGTGTCCTATAACATTTATAGAACACCTCTATTTTGTGTATAAATAAATACAAAACAAGAAAAAGAGATCCATTAACTAAGGACATAAAATTGTAAAAAAAAATTATAGAAATCTGTCAATACTCAAAATTTATCATAGTAATTTGGCTTTATTACTTCTCCCTTTTATTCCAAAAATTCAAATAAATCACTTTTGATTTTGAGGCATTTAATTTGAAAAGGTTCAACTAACTTTTACTATTTTTTTTTCTTTCTAAAATCACTCATACTTTTTTCTTTTTCTTTTTTTTTTTTTTTTTTTTTTTTTTGAAAATTTGACGCCATCTTTCCTAATAGCTATGACCGGTCTTCTTTAAAAGGTCTCGGCTACTCCCTCTGTCCCACAATATCTAACACATACAGTCAACTTTGCATGCATGTCAATGCACTAGTTTGACTTTATTTTTATATAATTAAATATTAATAAAAATTATTCTAAATTTTTTATTATTAACCTTTATATTAATACCTGTCTAACAACATATTTTATGATAAAATATGTTTTTATAATGTTAATAAAAAATTGTGGTCAAAGCTAATACATGAATAGTAAAAAAATTCTAATGTACAAGATATTATGGGACGGAGGGAGTATCAAATAAACTTAAATTAGTTCTAACTTTAAGATAGTTTTTGTCAAAACAGTCCGTATGATATTTTTAACAGGTTTATTTGACTGGTTTATAATGAACGTGTCTTGTTTTCATTATTTGTATTAAAAAAAAATATATATCCTCCACCACTGACCACTCTAATCACTCATCCCTCTCTTTAGGCCATGTTCTCTTCACATTAAAACAATAATATTTGATACAATGGACAACTAATGAATATTACCCACTAAAATATTCATCAGTGGCATAGTATAAACTCTTAAATGGACCTGGTCCACACTAATTTATTGTGGACTACTAATATTAGAGACATTGTGGTTGTTTTTTAATAGAAAAAAAGGTCACTATATTAAAATAAAGGTTATTATGTTGCAATAAAAGTCATTGTAATATTATAAAGGCTAAAAGAAGTTATTTTATTTTTTTTAATGAAATTTTTTATATACTGGTCAATATAATAAAGGTTACTATGTTAAAATTAGGGTCACTATGTTTAATATAACGTCGTACTTCAGGTTCACAATAATATTAAATATCACACAAGTTTTAATAAAGGTTATTATGTTAAAAATAAGGTTACCATGTTAAAATTAGGGTCACTGTGTTCCATATAACGTCAGTTGCGTGCATATAAACCTCGGAGTCACAATAATATTATTGTGGACCATATTCACACAAGTTTTTTTGGTGGCATAGACAACGGATGTGATTTTGCACGATTAGATTCTTATTTCATCTTATTATTTTTGTATTTGCTAGTTTTGATTTTTGTTGTAGATATAGTATAACTATTCCATCTATTACGGAGTAGTGAATTAGTTTACTTTCAAAAGACAAAAAATTACACATCATGCAAAAAATATTTGCGTAGCCAAAGTTGCTTTTGAATTATCAAGTTAAATTATACTACCAATGCATAAAGTTCACACAAATAACAGCACACTAGCATAGAGAGTTGCTGAATTAGGAAGATCAAGGAAATCAATCCTTACACATTACACAAAACACACACTCACACACGCATTAGCTAGCTCTAGAAGCATTTGTTAGGAATTGTCACATTATCCAATCCGATCCGATCCAGTCCAGAATTTTGATATGAAGAACTCACTAACAGAAGTAACAGCAGCAGCAATTGAACTATTGAAGTTCATTTTACATCAAATATATCATGGAAATTTGGTTGCATAGATAGTCCGAAAGGCGGTATCTGGTAACGATAGTCTCTATCCTGTGGATTAATGCATACACCACCCTCCATTTCACCCATATCTCCTTCCATGACTTCTTGCTTGTGCTGACAGTGCTGTGTAGAGAATGGAAAACATGCATAGCGATATTAGGGCATAATTTATACAATATACATATATAAAAGTACTTTGACTCGTACATTACAATAGTCCAGAAAATGCTAGAAATTGCCTCGTTATTTTTTCTATGGACATTTACTAGTAGATTGTACATAATCAATAATTCAAATTTCAGCTCCACTTTATGCATACTTACAAAGTACGGAGTAATTGATCTAGTATAGGTTAGGGAAGTCTTTAACGCCCTCATTTAAAGGTTTAAGGTTGGTTTCCTTCGATAATAATTCTTTGATCAAAACCTCGTCATCATTAACTATCTACTTGCATATATAATAATATAGTTTCTACTATTACTTCGTACTAAATTTCCCTCAAAAAAAAAAATTATTACTTCGTACTAAATTCAATTATATGTCAACGAATTTAGGGTTGTTTAACTCTTGATTTTTAAGTCGACGTAGACTAATTATGATCAAGTAGATATAGACTCGATCTTCATTATCAATAATCCATCTAGCCTACAACTTTACAAAACCAATGTAGTTTTGGTAACTACTTAACTAGAAACCTAAATGTTGAGCCCATGAGCAAACTCACATGTGAGTAAAAGTGTTGTCCCACATTGAAGGAGAGTGAATGTGAAGATGAGTATTATGATGTGTATCCCACATTGAAGAAAAGAGAAAGTTGTGTCCACTTTATAAAGCTAAGGGGCTATTCCCCTCATTGCCATATGGTTTTGAAGTGGAACCTCCTTAGTGTTGATCAGTCAAATTTGAGTACATTATACAAAGCAAGGTTGCAAGAGGGCAGAGACCTTATCCCCTAATATACTCATTTGAATTAGTTGTGACCTTAGACGTTCAAATTACACTATCAACATTCAACATAGGCTACTACTAATTCTAGGCAAATAAACGTGATCAAAGAATATGGAGGGAAACAAAACACATGCTTACCCATAAATAAGTGAGCTCCTTTCTCTCCTCCTCAAGCCTCCTTACCTGATTAAATTTTTCAAGAAATAAAATTACATCAAGCATGAAAACCCCAAATCAAATATACATATAGTTAATTATATATTTTCGCTAAAAGCATTCGTTCAATAGCATTAGGCAAGAAGTGTATGTTTTTATAAGACTTAAACGACGAAACAAGATACGCTATAAGAATTACACATACATTCTTTTGGAGCTTCCCGTAGATTTCCATCTGTTACAAAAAAATGTAGTCCGTAATAAGTAAAATATACAAGCTTATTAAGACATACCACAAAAGACTATTTAGGTTGACCGAGATTATTATGCTGTGCAATTTTACATACTCTAGATAAAATCACAAATAAAACATGCTTATTAATAAAACATGTGTAATTAAAGGGTTTTAATTAACAAATTTAAGAGAAATTTAATTAGTTGCTTGCCTCCTTGTCGCGTACACTAGAAATACCATGTTCAAGAGCATCCTCTAGCTGCTGCAATTCTGTGTATGGTAATGCTGCAATGTCCTCTCCTTTCAAGTGCCTAAGTAATTTGAACAAACAAAATCGCGCTGAAACTAAGATATTCCTTTAGCTTGGTTTACATTATTACTAATTCATTAAATAATTCTTTTGATTAACAAACATATTATTTAAGTTTTTAAAATAATATAGAAGATATAACTAGCATGTATCATAGATTTATAATTACCTGAGTTCAATCTGCATATTGTCATTCTCTTTCTTGATCCTTTCTATCTCGTTGCTCAGATTCTGTGACCATTTACATCAATTATGCCAGATCAAAAAGAATATGTTGATATAAAATGCACAAACTTTCAAAAATTTAATATAAATAAAATACTCGCACACCATATTGTTACCAATTACGAGTACAAACAGATTAAAATACGAAGTAATTATTTTTTTAATTAAAATTAGCCTATTAAGTCCATTTATTATAGATTTTCTATTTAACGATCCCGTCTATTGTAGATAATTAATTACATTAGTGATACTTAGTTGCATAATAAAGAAAAAGATAATAAAATAAAAATAAATTTGTATTCTTGGGAAATAAATATGTGGGAATTTCATCAAATTAAAATTAAGATTTTTTTTTTTTTTTTTTTTGAAAAAAAACTTGGTTAGTTGAAGAAAAATAATGATGAATTTCTTTTGTCCAAATAATAATAATAAAAAATAAATAAAAAATAAAAAATAAAAAAAAATTAAGAAAACCAGATCAGATCTGAAGGATGTAACATAACAAATACAGATCTAGGGCATGCAGCTATATCTTTCCCTTTTGTCCAATAAACCTTAAAATTCTTGTGAATAACCTATGCCGTTTTTAGATCTGTTCAAATGATAAATTTCTCTATATTTCTTGCATATTTTTAGAAACCCAATAAATATATTAATAATTTGTGTAACAAAGTGCATATTATCCCCTGAAGAAAAACAGGCACTCTAAAATAGATGGAGAAAAAAGTTTTATTTTTATTTAAAAATAAAATAAAATTATAGACTTATTAAAAAAGAAAGAAAATTATAACATTGAAATGGATTAAATTAAACTTACTTCATGTTTAGCATCCCAAAGCCTCTTGCCAGAAATTTTGTGGTAGTGTTCAAGTATATCTTCCACCCTTTTGTAAATCAAAATATAAAGGTAAAAAAAAAAAAAAAAAAAAAAAAAAAAAAAAAAAAAAAAAAAACATTGGCAAAATCAAGCATATATGTCAATAATACCTTTGTCCGAAACTAATAATCACATTGATAGTGTAATTTGAATGAGTAGCGATGACTTACGAGGTAGTAGGGCTATGATAAGCATGCACTTTGCTATTGTTAGTAATGATAACCAAAGAAACCTTAGCATCACAAAGAACAGAAATTTCTTCAGCTTTCTTGAAAATCCCATGTCTTCTCTTTGAGTAAGTTACTTGCCTGTTTGATGGGTTTTCTATTCTTTTTATCTCAATCTTTCCTCTCCCCATTTTTTTTTTTTTTCTGTTACTTTGTGGTAATGAATTGAAGATGAAGAATAAAAATGGAAGGAGGCTAGAGATGAAGATGTGGTAATGAATTGAAGCTAAGGGGTGTGCCTTTATTAGGAAGGGTTTGAGGACAAGGGGGCTTTAAAAAGTTGGGAAGTAGGGTTTGGTTATATATGGAATAATTAAATTATTTGGTGTAATTTTGACTAATGATTTACATACATGTTTAAACTTATTTGGTTTATGTTAACTTCTATAATACTTTTGTTTTAAAATAATTACACGCACCTTTTTTAACTTTACATTTGTAAATGTATTCCGTATAATTTTAATCACATTTTTACTTTTTTAATTGATAGATATCTGTATTATATGATATTGATATTTTGAAAATATACTTTGAGGCTAATTTTAATAATATTTTTCACACAAGACTCCATGCCTTTACCAACTAGGAAAAACGGCGATTGGTAATAAAGGTAGAAATTTTTTTAATTTATCGATTTCTAAATGGTAAATTATTTTGGAATTTTTGTTAAATAACCACATTTTTGTATACACAGTGTAAGTAAAATTATGTGGTGATACATACTGTACGAAGTACTCCGTATTTGTCTTAGACCCGTAAAAAGTCAAAATTGTTTAACTACGGAGTATTATAAAAGTAGTACTCCGTATAAACGTACTCTGCATTGAAAGTATATTATGATTTGATGTCATGGTTTTCTGTTGCTTTTTTGATTAGGCATTTGATAGTTTGTGTCACCTTGTTAACCGTTGGTCATTTTGCATCATCTAGATGTACTCTTTTGTGTGTGCAAATGGTGCAATATCTGTTTTGTGGTAGTTTCTATAGCATCTTTTTTACTAGTGTGTTAAATACTGTTTTTTTTTTTTTTTTTTTTTTTTAAAAAAAAAAAAAGGTTTATTATTAGTACTTTAGACAAGACTTTGGATTACTATTTAATCTTTGTCTGATTATTTTTCAAGAATATTGATGAATTATATTGGAGGGGGTGTTAATCAATTGACACATGCCATATTGACTGGTATGTATTGTGTTCTGTGAAAATGAAGGTCTTAGTTATAGGGAGAGTTAGGGTTTTGACCTAGCCATTCAAATCAATTTTACAATTTCTTATATGAGAGTCACACATCTTATTCACCATCACATCACATCATATTGTGTGATAATCAAGCTAGATAAATGTGTGTTATTTATCTGTGTAAATAGTATAGCTTGTTGGAACTCTTTTTGGTTCAAAAATTTAGACATTGACTTTGTACAATTTTAGAAAAAAAAATTGGATAAGCTAAGGGTAAAACTCATTTTCTGACGTAGTACATATTTAAATCCTCCGTAATAAAGGAATTAATAATGGAGATTATTTCTTTGACACATCTTGAGCCACTTTACCATGTCAAAATCAAATTGGTCGGGCTGGCACACAAACTGCTTTGACCTGGCATGAAATTGGCCCGATGTTGATAGGTACATTGGTATTTTATGTTTGCAAAGACATTTAGAAAAGATTTTACATCACTAAACTATTAATGTCAAAACATTCAACTTAAAATCAACGTGATAATATGATTAAGGACAACCCTAAGAGTCACGTATAACTTTTTAACATCAGTCCTATGCTATAACTTGTCCTTGCATCTTGCAAGTACCTAAACATGTGCTAATAGTTAGATATAACTATATATGTAGTCTAAGGATAGATTGGGACACCATATGATCCACATACTACAATACTCAGTTGGATAAACAAGTCATATATCATAATCAGTAAATAAGTGACCAATGTATCATGTGTGCGGTTGCTCTATGCGTGCAAGCCATACATCATCCACACACACATAGAAAAAGATGTATGCACTCTTGCTCACTTGATCACACCTTCAATTCATTGTATGCACTCTCCACACACACATAGAAAAAGATGTATATGTAGTATTATCAATCATATTTATGTCGCTAATAATATGAAGTAACAATCAATCTCAATCAAAACTTCATCTTACAATAACTCGCAATTGTCCTAAAAGAAATAAACTCGATCTCACAACCATACGAACATTGACAAAAAGACTATGGTCTCGCTATATTGAAAATTAAACAGCCAATTTTATTTTGTTTTTATTTTTAATTTTTTTTTTAAAAAAAAAGCCACAATTTTCAATTATTTGCCTAATTAAAAGGATATATATTGTGGAAAAAGAGAGACACACTACTTATATTTAGGAAACACACACAAACAAATTATTTCCAGTAGTATATTAATGAATATATTAACAATCTATGAGCCATGACTAAGTCATGAGTCATAACAAAACCACAATCCATTTGCTTAATTAGCTTATTAGTTTCTTAGATAATTGGAACAAACAAGCTATTGATATATAACAAGCACACACATACACGATACACCAAGGCCACACAAACATAGTATCAAGGCAATGATGATAGCCTTCAATTATTACAACACACACACGCACGTAGCTAGCTAGCTAGGATCCTCTTCCGGGTATGATATAGCCGGAGAAGTATACATAGTAGCTAGCTAGCAATTATGCAAGCTAGACATCAGCATTATTTTTCCGAACATCAGATCATCTACATCCTTTCCTGTAGGTTTGGTTGCATTGGTTGCAATCGATAACCATAAGGAATCTGGTAATGGTAATCCCTCTCTTGTGGAGCATGGCGAACGCCACCATCTATCATTTCATTTTCTTGCTTGTTCTGTGTATGTACAAGAATGCAATACACTAAATAAGGAAATTGTTCAATAAACAGTAATTAACACTCATATAAATATGAGCTGAGGTATATAAAAGTAGTTTATAAAAACACTTAGACCAAGGTTTGTTATAGTGTATATAAAATAAGGCCTAGAAAACAACATACAATGATAAAGAGTGAGTATTGTTCAGCACAAGTTTTAGCAGTCGTTGCTTCATTGGTTATCTGGTTACATTTAAGTGCATTGTCCGAAATTAATTGTAGGATGTCCTGTGAAAATTAATCTTCTTCAAAGTTAATTTTTGTAAGCTAATTAAGTAGGTTGCTTTTAGCTTTTTACTATGTATCACATAATTAACATAAGCTGGCATTTGTGTGCTTCACTTAAATCATTAACCTCGTGTTCTCCAAGCATTAGTAAGCATGAAAGTAGCATTATGGAAAACGAAAAACATACCAACATGTAAGTGAGCTGTTTCTGTTCCTCCTCAAGCATCGATGTCTGATCAATTTTCAAGAATCACATTTCAATCATAAACTAATGTACAAATAGGCCAAACAATCATCAACATTAATTCAGCAATAAATAAATCCCAATGATTTTGATGATTGAGATTAATAACATTACATTAACAGTGGAGTAGTTCAACAAAAAAAACAGCAATCAGGTCAGTGAAAATCAAGGTGAAGAAATTAAAGTAAAAGAATTGATACTAAATGTGAAGATTATTAGACTAGGAAATAATTAAGTTTTACACTTACATTATTTTTGTGCATCGTGTAAACTTCCATCTGTCAAAAACAAAGAAACAATAATAAGTAACATAATTACATAAATACTCCTTAGTAAATCATAGACTCGATATAATCTCATATTTTATTTCATTTATAAATTATACGAAGCAATTAGCTTAAATAAGAAATATCGTGTTAGTATTAAATTTCATATGGATTTAATAACAAGGAGAAAATACTTGCCTTCCTGTCATTAATTCTAGCAATACCAATATCAAGAGCTTCTTCGAGGCGAATCAAATCTGGGTATTGTAAAGATGCAATGTCCTCTCCATTCAAGTGCCTACATATAGTTTATAACACACCATTTTATTTTTTAACTTGTTAAATTATGTTATCGAGTACTCCGTGCTACAAAGTATATATTTAGAACAAAATAGGAAGTATAAATCAAGTTATGTCTAGAAATTGTTTTTAGTACTTCATAATTTCAAAATATAAAGATATTAAGTGGTTGATTTTTTTAATTAATCACCTGAGTTCGATCCGCATGTCATCATTTTCTTTCTTGACTCTATCTATCTCATTCTTGAGATTCTGTGAATACACAATTTTTTGCATCATGAACCATAAATTAGCTTGTATCAATGAAAAATAATTTTTAAATCAGAAATACAATCTAACTAGGAGTAAATACTAGTATTTGCTTCAATTTAATAAAATTAGCAATTAATTAGTATACAATCCTTTACTTTTGCCAACATGAATTTACCTACAAAAATGTATATTTTAAAGCAAACCAGAAATAAAAAAAAAATTAAAGGAAAAAAAGATACGAAGTATATGAATATAACTTATGTTTTTTGAATTATTAATTAGGGTTAGGGATGACCAAAAACAGAATCAACAAAAAGAATTTGATGTATTTTTTGTTAAAAAAAAAAATGGATATTTTGTTGAACTTGCATAGATCTATGAAATAATATTAACAATAAAATAAAATAATGGAAAAATAACTTGAATAGAAGAGATTTACAAGATGTAACATAACAAGCATTCAGATCTGATATCTAGGGTAGTATAGCTTTCCATATTTGTCTAAAAAACCATAAAACTACTAATATAAAGCTTAGATACTAAATCAAGCCCAACCCATTTATAGATCTGTTCATATGATCAATTTTTCCTATCTTTCTTGCATATATTTCTATCATCTCCCAAAAAAAAAAAAAAAAAAAAAAAAAAAAAAAAAAAAAAAAAAACCTTTGTTATATCCTGTAAAAGAATAACAAACACTTTTTTTTTTTTTTAACAAAGGTTTTTTTTTTTCCTTTTTGAATAAAAGAATAACAAATACCTTATAAAAAAGTGTTTTTTTTTTTTTTTTTTTTTTTTTTTTTATATCAACCCACCTCATGCTTAGCATCCCAGAGCTTCACCCCGGAAATTTCCTGGTATTTATCCAGTATATGTTCCACCCTTCAAAGAAAAAATAATTCCGTTAAAAACTCCGACTATCAGGGTTTTAAAGTACATAAACTATCAACACGACTATTAATTCTGAACTGAGGGAGTAATAATAAAGTAAAGAATCGGAAATTAAAAGTTTAAGGACGATGACATACGTGGTAGAAGGGCTATGGTAATCATACATTTTGCCATTATTGTTAGCGAAGATTACAACAGAAACCTTAGCATCACAAAGAACAGTAATTTCCTTAGCTTTTTTTATGATTCCATTTCTTCTCTTTGAGAAAGTTACTTGCCTATTTGTTGCGTTTTCTATCCTCTTTATTTCTATTTTTCCTCTCCCCATTTTCTCTCTCTAAATTTTATATATTTTTGTTGTTTTAATTTGTAAACTAGCTAGTTTTTGAATAAAGATGATGAATGATTATGAAAGAAAATAAGTAAAAATAAATAAATTAATAAGAAAAAGAAAGGAATGAAGGACAAGGAACTTTCAAAGGGAGGGTAGTAGGGTTTGGCTGAAAAGGGGTTTGTGTATTTGACAAGTGATATTCAACTGAATTTAAAGACTGATTTTTTATTTCTTAAAATAAAAAAAAAAAAAAAAAAAAAAAAAAGGAATTTATAATTTCTTTAATTTTGACGAAATATTGGGTTGTTGATTAGGTGTTTGTTTGATAGTTAGTGTCACCTTGTTAACCGTTGGTCTATTGTTTGCATCATCATAGAGAGTGATGATTGATTTGTTTGTGTTCTATTCCTTTTACTTTTTTTTACTTTGATCTCCGTACTCTAGCATTGAAATCATGGTCACTAATATTATTTTGGTATGTTTGGGAAAGTTAACATAAAGTAGAATTGAATTCTATGGTATTTCATGAATTTTATTTCACATTATGTATTGAATTGGTACATTCATATTTGACAATTATAAAAAATACATTGTACCTTTTTTTATTTTGGTGTGTGACCTACTAATGTTTTGTTCTTGCCTACCTCTTGGTTCATATGTATCCATTGCCACATTGTGCAATAATGATCGATCTCATGGTTAGGTTTTCTCCCTTTCTAATAGGTGGTAAAATCAATTTCGAGTTTTTTTTTTTAAAATGCCTTATCGATCATGAAAAAAACTCCTACTCTCCTAAATCAATTTAATCCACATTCATTATTTTCAAGTAATTATGTTAAGCTATTAGGGTGGAATAAAATTTGAGACACCCAATTTCAAGTGTGTTAGTTTTAAGTATGGATCAGATTCAATTCAAGTGTATTTTTCTCAGTATTGAATTGTCATACTTATAATATTTTTAATTGAGTAGATTGACTTATATACTTTGTACTTATTTTTTTTTACAAGTATTCCGTACTTAATTGCTAAACGGTAAGTTTCCTTATAAATAATCTATGTACAACTAGAGTGACTTTTATTAGTAAAAAGTTGCAAGTATCTTCTTATTTTGTTGTAATGACTTCCCATGTTGTCTACTGCAAACGTTTCAATAACTTCGTATATGATGCATTAAACTTAGTTAATTACTCCACTAGTGTAGTTTTACGGAGTAACACTGAGTATTTATTTAAAGTCAAGATTTACAAGCTTTCATCATTAGAAAGTTAAATAAAAAGTTCATCCAAAACTGAGGAAGTGGTATTTTGGAGAAGACTCTTTTGGATACAAATAAATACAATTCTTTGTATGAATACAACTCCTTTGATTCAAAGGGTGTTTGTTGATGGACAACTCTTCATCAGCTGACGGCCATTGCATTAATTGTGTGATAATGATGGTCTCACGTGCATGCTTAGCCATAGGAGGGTTAGGGTTTTCACCTTCTAGATTAAACCTTGTACATATAATTCATAGTCACTTGAAATCTTGTTCAATTAATCTCGATTTTTATTTTTAGATGTGTAATAATTTTTTGAAAAATGGTATACCTAAGCTAAGAAAACTGTTATTACAATTATATAATAAAAATTGTGTAAGATTATACAGTAAATAAGACAGTCATATCAAAACGGAGGAAGTATATGGGAGTCTTGAGACATTGGGGAAAAACCTCCACATAACTTCACCATCAAATCGCATTTAATTATGTTAAAGTAGCTTAGTTTGAGGGGAAAAAAAGTCAAAAGTATATGGTTAATAGTATGATCGTGTAGTACGGAGTATTATTTAGCCGTGTAAGAAATAATATATTCCGTACTAGTATGATAAGATACATGCATGTGATATGAATAGAAGCTTGTAAATGATTTAATGATTAGACTTTTGTTGTTTACGTGCTTCAATTAATTACAACTACAAATAATGCCTTGATTAGACAATGACCTTGTACCATTATGGATAAATATTGGAATATACCCATATTAGTGATGTTGCTGCTTATATCCTGTACTTTCGTTTTCTGTTTTAGGAAAGAAAATAACGCTATAAATTAGAGTAGTCGTCTCTCAACACTACAATTTACTAAAAATAGAATATGTACTAATGTACAAGTTACATAAGTATACTCCCTTGTATTTTTCTTGGATTATTAGATATATTTTGGTACAGTCGTAACGTGTGATTGAATACGATTAACCAGCGAAACAAGGAGCCAAGGGTAAACGCCGTTGTTGAAAGAGAAATTTCGTTAAACGCATTTTTTTCGGTGGTAAGGGTGAAGTTAAGGTTAGAGTTTCCTCCCTTAATAATAAAGGGTTAGGTTCAAGTAGATCAGGCAATCCTAACTCAGACCCGATAACCCGACCCGAATGACCCGACTCATGACCCGAAATGACCTAAATACAACGATCCGAAAATGACCTGAAACCCGAAATTGGCCCGACTCGAAAATAGAGTTGATCCGATCCTGACCCGACCCAAAATTGACCCGAATTTTTTGACCCGAACAAACCCGATACTCAAAATTGACCCGAACAGACCCAATACTCGAAATGTCCCGAACTAAAATTACCTTATAATTGAACTAAAATGTCTGGTGCCAAAAATAATTTAAATTGTTCATTTTCAATTGTATCCACACTCATAAACCGAATTGATAGTTCTTATTATAACAATAATAAAATATAAAATTATTGAATTGAGCTAGATCCACAAATTAAATGGAACAACCCGAACATGACCCGACCTAATTTGACCCGAACATACTTGACCCAAAAATGACCCGAGCCATACCTGAAACCTGAAATGACCCGACCCGACCTATACCCGACCTGAACTACCCATTTGCCAGGTCTAGGTTCAAGTGAGGCAGTTTTTTCTTGCATTGGGCTTTGACAATTGGTCTATTCTTTGTGTTGTGGCTCAGACCTGACGGGGAGTTCTTGTAATAGTAAATAACAGAGGTAAGTTGTGCACTTTTTTGAAGTACGACCGAAAGCAATAAGTGTGTTTCAAGCAATCAAGTTCCTTCGAAGATCAAGAGGTTAAGCTTTTATTATTGTTTTACCTCCTCTGTTTTTTTTTATTTAAAATTTTGACTTTTAAATATTTATATGTGCCACTTTAACTAGATTTGATAATTTATAGTTAAGCAAAAATATAGTTATGTGGGATCTTGTTAAATTTGTCTCTAGTTTAGCTCATTTAAGTATTTTGTTGAACTTTTTTAGCTTGTAATAGCTATTGATTAAGCATATGTCAAGAAAAAATAAAAATAAAAAAAAAACAACAACAACAAATAAGAAACATAATTTGATTTCGGATTTTGAGTATTACTCTCAAAATTTTTATTAACTAATAGTCCAAATCCTTGTAGCAAGTAATTACGAGTAGTAATTTTAACATCATCTAAGGCAGCTATAATTAATTTTTACAACTTAATTAACCACAAATGCTTGTCTACAATCTATTCTTTTTCTGAGAGATAAAAGTGTTTGATAAAATATGCTAGCTACTTTCACAGAGGAGTATCTGTATGATTTTTAGAACAGTTATATCAATACGGTATAAGATAATTTTTCCTTCAATTATGATCTTGAAAACCAAAAACAAAAAATACAGTACGTATATGAAGTGGATACTGAAACATGTCTAACTTAATTACTTGTAACACCATATCATCCAAAAAACATTTTGTCACAATCATCCAATCTACAGTAAATTTTTATTTTGTGGTAAAATCATGTATATGACGGTCTCACAAAAACTTACATTAGACTAGGAAGAGCTTTTTTTATTTATTAATTATTCAAGTGATGGCTTGATACTATTTTAGAGATAAACTAGTGTTATTTTTCCACTTTAGTTTCGAATAATATTTCCAAAAAACGATGTGGAAGCGTCAATTCGAATTAAATTGATAGAGATTTTGGCCTAAATGTGAAGTTACTATGAACACATTCATTAAAAAATATTGTGGAAGTGTCCATTCGAATTTAATTGATAAAAATCTTGGCCTAAATGTGAAGTTACTCTATAAACACATTCATTTTCTGGGACTTGTTGGCTAATTTGGTAGTTCTAATTTGGTAGTTCTACTACTACATGACAACTTGACTATTTAATAAATTTCTATCATAAACAATAAGTGCTCCGTAATGTACATTAGTGATTACTCAGGAGAGTTACAAATCATGCCTGCCTTGTTAATGGAAGTGGTTCTAGATCCAATTCGATATGCTGAAATCACGTAGCTTCCTTAAATGTTTCTCCATGTCTTGCCTAGATTTTGTCCACTCTTCCCGTTCTATGACAGTGGTTGGATCATCTCTTTGATTCTGCACCATGCATCAGGTAAATTAATTAGCAACTCCCAAATACGGGTATGCAAGTTTGAAGGTTCACATGAGATGATTCAAAAGAGGGGGAGGGGGGGGGTGATCAGAATAAAGATACTGACCGCAGGAATTATCTTGAATGAGTTCCCGTTATCACGGATCACAAGCAAGTCATCCTTTCTGTCCCTCTTTCTCCCTTCTGGCACTGTGACCTAATCAATGGAAAGACCCAATCAGTCAGTAAACTCATCAATACAAGAATATGATGGAGCATGATAACAAAACAAAACATAGGAATACCCTCATGCGCACATACAAATTGCATGTAATTAGAGCATAATGATCACACCAAGACTGCCAAAGTTATCAATCATACCAAACTAAGCCCAAGGAGGGAGAGATTAAGCATGCAGGAAAGAACAGCTGATATGTATACTTGGAACACATGGACAACTAAACCAATGTTTCTGAAAAATGATAATGGCCGTGGTTTCTCAGTTAAACAAAAAATGTAAAGAACTAGAAGGCCATGCTGTGGACAGCATGATGATGAAGATACAAAGAAAAATACTATAGCAGGATCCTGGAGGCTTGTGTCATACAGCCATTCAACCATTCATGTCACGATTAAAAAGAGTGTGAAAATATGATGCAATATGGATAATTTGTTCTACAGACCATAATTTATACAAACTTTTGACAAGAAACATAAAATTTTATTACAGATGGACGAACAAGGTTTATGACTTCCAGGTCCTTCAGTTGCAGGCAACAGGTTCTTTACAGTCTATTCTCTATTCAAGTAAGTCTAATTGTACTTATGCGTAAGGAAACAGCGGAAAAATGAAACGCCATGCTGAATTGTTAAAATTATAACTTGCCTTATATGGGATTTTTTTTTCAGCCAATTTTGGTTGACCTATGTCAGAACCCAAATTGTGGTCACGCAAGGAAACAAGGAGACAGAAGCAACTGGCAGATATTTAAAGAATGGAATGGAGAAACATTATCTTGGTAGGCTTGGAACAAATGAAGCCACAGAGAAACTATTATTGGAGCATCAGGGCTCAGAATGCAAAAGCAGTGGGTTACACACTTACACTTCTCCATATTGATTACAATCTGCCTCAATAAATGCAGTACAGTACAACAGTAGCAAGGCCTATACAGAAAATTTTCATCATTTAACAGAATTAGAAGTTTCCTGAGAGCGTATTGAAAAGAAGCATGATCCATCAAGGGACAGAGTTCAAATGCATGACCAAACATTAAGTCAATTAGGGACCTAATAGGTGCTGTGATTTCCTACTGTAGATTTAATCATCAAGTTTTTTGATTGCTTGTCTTTCTAGAGTACCAAGTAGATGATAATTATTCTGGAGTATTATTGCAGATTCAAGATAAAGATAGCACATGATTTTATGGGATTTCAAAAACACTCCATGAAGGGAGGGGAAGTTTACATGGCGATGCTTCTAATGGTTCTTTCACTTCTTTGGAATGAGAATGTAATCTTCAATTAACATTAGCAGTACAATAGTAGGACTACAACAGCCAATATTCCCTCTAATAAGAGGGAAGAATCAAGAATCACAATAGAGCTAGAGATGCAGGAGCAGCAGGACTACATTGCCAATAATCTCTCTAGTACGATTGTACAGAGAGCCTCCTCTTACATGCGAGAAATTGAAAATGACAGGCCATATATTGATAAATGCATACAAAAAATTTAACTACTACTAGAAAAACTAATGGACGTGATATACGTCAAAACAGACAAATAATAAAATGAAAATTTAAGTTCAAACTATACCCCTACGGTTGAAAGTTGACCCATAGTCCAGGGACAAAGTGGAGAACTTAATAAACTATTCCACACTATTACTCTTATCTCTTGACCGGATCAATTATGATTCTAAAGTTCTAGAAACAAGTTCAGTGAAGCAGGTTAACAAGCAGAAAACATCAAGTATCTTGGATACTGACATCAATTAGACAAATATGTATATCCCATTCACCAGAATGTTCTAAATAATACAGCTAGTTCCATAACCTAGCTATTCTTCCTCTCCTTCACACGATTACTGCCAATATATACATATCTATTTCATCAGATCCATGGACTCCATTCCTGCAATCCATCATCATAGTTACTCCCTCAGGCCTCAGCCCCCTTTTGTTTTCCCCAGTTTCCTTTTTCATTTGCTCCTTTGAGCTTGCTCCTCACTGGAAGATCTATCTCGTGGCTGGTACTGCATGGTTCCACCGATAAGTGACCATGAAGGAACATCACGTTACTCTCACATCCACTACATTTGGTCCCACCGTCCCAGTGTCCTACCAATTTGGTCCATTATCAACTATACTCAGCCTAAAATCAAGGGGTAAAATGATCCAAAGAGAACAAACACAGGGGAGGAGATTACAAACTAAATGCTCCAAACGAGTGACAGTCTTGTCAAGGATTCATCACTCATCATGGTTACGCCAACCCGGGATATGATGACTTTCTCACTTCTCCAGTGTAGATGTTACATACACGCATACACCTCCATTTCTTGAATAGATCTCATGACAAGCATGCTCTCAGAAAGCTATTCCTACTCATGTCATAAATGGATAAACAAACTTCCAAACGACATCCAGTGCAGTTCATGACAAATAAACAGGACTTTTGTAAGAAAGAATTATTCAAAATGACAAATTGTAAAAGGCAATACTTGCAATGACTATTAAGGCCACACAGCTAGGCCTATTGGACTGATGAGGCAGTATAAACTGTGATTCCTAGTGCGTGGTAGAAAAAGTGGACAGAACTTATAGCAGTAAACAATCACCAGACTAAGTCCATCTGCCATGTACTTCTTGAAATTCCCCACACAAAGGTCACACCGTAATTCCAAAAGAATCAAATGCAACACCAGCAGAAATTCTATTTTAAAAAGTCCCAACTCCTAATCTTTTGACTAAAATTTGCACCTAAAGGCTTTTAAACTCTAAACAGTAAATCATCAGGTTCAATGTGTGGGCATAATTCGCATATGACAACTGAAGTTCCCACTAACATCCTACCCATACATCCTCAAGGTAAAAATAATAAAATAAAGGGGGGGGAAGGAGGGAGGGGGAGAAGTATCACAAAGTTCCCACAAATTTTTTGCCCCTCTTACAATTTTGTTTCCTTTTATCCTCCCCTGCATCCAATGCTTCTTTTAGTTCATCTGTATGATCTCATTCTTCAAATTCGACACCTCGTTCAATTATTATCTTATTTACAATTTTTCTGGTATCGACTCGAAAAAAGTAGCCCAATTAGATTCTAAGAAGACTCATCCAATTACTCTTGACATCAACATCTATACATGGTTGAAAATATATGGAGTATTGAATTGTACACAACTGCCCCAATAAGGATCCTACTGATAGTGAGGCGGATGAATTGGATTGTGAGGAGGGTAGCCCATATGCATCACGAGTCTAGTACACAGGAAACTATTTAAGTTTCCACAGATCATTTATAGCCACAAGTGTAAAGAGCTAAAATGAAGGATAAAGGATAATTCTTACCAAAACTTTTGCACGTGTAATAGACTTTGTTCTCGAATCAATAACATATATCTCCTCGAAATCTAAAAAAAATTCTGGGTCGTTTAATCTCCTATTTCTATAATGCTTTGTCAGGAAAACCTGAAAAATAACCAGAAAATAATCTGATTAAATGACAATTTTGGTCAGCTAGCAAGTACAGGACAGGCTGATCACAATTTTTGAAAGAAAAAGATAATATATCTACCAAGTCTCCATCACATATTCATGGCATTAAAAAAATTGAACTTTGCTAATGCCATGCAAACAAAAAGTAGAAAATTGATTTTAACAAAAAAAAAGTCTTTTTACCTTAGAGACTTCTCGCTCAGATTTATACATTGGATCTCGAGGGGCATCAATTGGTGGTTCAGTCACATTGTAGCATCCATAATCACTCTTTGCACATCGAATATACTGCACTTCACACATAATTACAAAAATAAGAGGATGATATTCTAAAATATTGGTTTACACTACAAAAAGATCACAAACAAAAAATAAATCAAATTATCATAACATAAAATATAATCTACTTTATTGGAAATTATCTATTTGCTATCTAGTTTCAGCAGAGATGAACATTGAACAAGAAGATAGCCAAGAAAGCATCAAGCATGCTAGCCTAGTGACCTTTCAAAATTGATTTATTTGACCTGGTAAGCTTAGGTTAGTGGAGCGGAATGTTAATTTCCACACATGCTAGTGAGCTTTCAAAGGTGATCTACTTGACCCAATAAGCTTAGGTTAGAGGAGTGGCATGTTTAAACAAGCTCATAAATTACGACCTAAAGAGTTTGGAGCCCTTGAGAGTTGACTTTTTATGGTTATGGGAAGATGAACATTTGAGGAATCTACCCCCCCCCCAACCACACACACACTTGCATAAACAAACCAAATAGTAATCTTTGTCCCTTTGAGCTAACGTTGAAGATGGGAATCAAGGCTATGAATTCAAGTCTACTTACTAGAAAAGGGTTCCTGTAAAAGGGCATGTGACTAACTCCTGCCAAATGCCTTAAAAATGTGGTTTATGTAGATGACGTTGTTAGCATAAATTTAGATTGCAAGAGACTAATTAATTTCTTATTTAAAATTAGTTTAATTTGACAATGTAGACCATCAATAGCCATTTTGATGTCTAATGGCTAAATGAGAATAGTCTCTTTGTAAACATTGGGGAACAAACGACTAGACTTTAGAGCAGCACATTGGCATTGTAACACTAGACTACATAAATCTAACCACTCCACTACCCTGCTCCTAGGAGGTTCCCCTCTGGAAGCAATGGGGTAATGGCTTCCATTTCAGTCTAGTAAGTAACAACTGAAATAAAAAGCATTTCCACCAATGTATTTATATCGCGCAATTGATTCTTCAAACACAAAATTTAAAGTAACCAGATGAAACAAGCTAACCTTATCAGGCATGGGAGCCAGAACTTTGGGAATTGAGTAAACATCTGTATCTGGTGGTGTTACATACATCTGCAGAAAATGCCAAAGAGTACATCAACAAAAATTATGACAATTTCACAAATAAGAAACATATAAAATGTCAATAAACTAATATTAATAACAAATTACGAAGAAATTCTAACCAAAAAATTCAGCAATCTCACAAATACATAATCAACAGCAAACTCTCTATCAATTTAACTATAAACCCAGAAAATTCTCAAAAAATGTAATTATAAACAACATATGAATCAAATTATTAACAAAAATTCAGAATTTTAAAAACTAAAACAAGACAAAAACAAATTTCTTAAAAAGTAAAAATAAAATTACCTCTCTAAAATCATAGACATCATTATCAGGATCAGGGGGTTTCCGAATAAAGAAATCACAATCAAACAAACAAATCTTATGAAACTCCTCTTCATTAATCCGATAATCAACCACCAAAACAGAATCCCTTTCTTGAGTATTCACAAAATTCTTACTCTGAACAACCTGAATAACCTCATCATCATTCATCCCAACAGAAGAAACAATCCCAAGTGGTTCGTATTCGACATCGAAATCCTTCTTGTTATCGACTTCCTCCACCTCCTCATCGTCCATTTCATAGTCATCTCCTCCGCCATCGGCGTCCCCGTCATCGGAGAAAACCCGAAAGTCTCGGAGTTTGAGAGGGGTGAAGAGGGGTTTTGAGGAGAGGAGAGAGAAAGTGGTGGTGGGGGGAAGAGAGAGAGTGGAGAGTGGGAGGAATGGAGGTTTTGGAGGGAGGAATTTGGTGGGGAGAAGGAGGAAGGTGGTAGTCATGGTGAGAGTTTGAGAGGTTTTAGGAGGGGATAAGCAAGAGATTGGAGTGTCAAAATTAGGAGTACTTGAAATGTCTTTTTTATTTGGATAAATCTAAACAATGGGGTAAGAAGTTAGGCCGGGTTCTTTTCACCTATTTTTGCAATATTTTTTTGAACTAAAATTATTTTTTCTGATGGAAATTATTTTTTTTGATTTTTAATTATATTTTTTTTTTAAGTTATTGATTATTTTTTTTATGGAAAGAAATAATTTTATTAATTAATAGTCATACGGCATCTATGATAAAAATAAAGACTTGTAAACCACAAATTTAGAGAAATTAACATAATTTTTACAATCAAAATCATAACTACAGTTATTGAATTTTATGAATAATAAAAATTATTTGTACTGAATTGAAATTAATTTTGGTAACATGAACTTTTTTTTTACTTAAGTTAAACTATTTTTAATTATTTATTACTTTAAGGTGAAGACAGCCTGGTCTTACAATAAAAAAAATTAAAAAATAAAAAATTAATAATTGTCTACTCTATAATATTTAGAGGTATCAAATAGGTCATTTAGTATGGCTTTGTACAATTTGAAATTTTAAATCATAATGTGACTTAATTTTTAAAACTTTTTTGTATAGAGAGAGGCACAGTAGTAACGATTTTGACGGAATTTGATTTTATATCCTGAATACCACCCTTTAATAATCTAGCAAGCTAATTTAGTTGATCATCCACAAGTCGATTCATAAATGAGTTATAATGTATTTGGGTCTATTCACGTACAAGGGCATATTTAGGTGTTGTTTGGTTGACATGGGAAATGAGTTCTCATAGGAAATTATACTTCATGGGAAGTAATTTCCCTTGTCCATTTCCTAAGAATTACCTTAAATTTGTTTGGTTGATAATGTAGGAACTTTGATTTCCTAGGAATTTATTTCCTATGTTTTATTAGTTAATTTGATAATTTTTTATTTAAGGTAACAAATTTGGAGAGAGAGAGAAAGAGATTAAATTATTAGTGATAATAATGCAAGTAGGCCCCACAATAATCATGGGAATTGTGACTTACCAAGGGGGGGCTTGGTAAGTGAATTCCCAATGTTTAATGGGAATTGAAACTTCCCTTGGAATTTCCATTACCCCCACTTTGATAAATTTGTGCCAACCAAACAACACATGCTATATCCATTTCCTAGAAAATAGAATTTCCCATGCTTCTTACCTCCAACCAAACAACACCATAGACTTTCAATTAAGGTGCTAATCGTACAAGTTCAATCAATATTGGGTAGCATATTGTGAGAAATAAAATCAACTACATTTATAGTTGATTGTAGACTTTGTAGTCGAGTAGGTTAGATTAGGTTGAATTGATTCATGTTATTTTCGAGTACGGTTTAAGTTACTATTGAGTCATTTAAGTTGGGTCAAGTTGGATATTAAAAGCAATGTGTTAAGTTAAATTAGTATTTTATTTTTTGATCAATACGCTACCTTAATTTTGTAGAATTGTGTAAAATAGTTAGGTATCGATTTTGGACCCTATAAAAAAAAATTCGGTCCTCTTTTAATTAAAATAAAATAAAATAACTCATTTTTAAAATTACTTGGTTAAATAAACACTTGGCCAAGTATAAAACAAAATACTTTAAAACACGTTTTTGGCTTTAGTGGTAATAAAAAATCTCAACCAATGCTCTAATACCACTTTGGAACACCCTAGAAATTCCTTTCCCTTAAAATACCTGTTTTGCTCCTTTTAAATACGAAATAGGAAATTCTAAAACATTACCGCCACCGTGAAAACGACTAAGGCAATTATCAAAGACTCACAGTGGAAGACTCACTTTAAAAATCATTCAAAACAAGTTAACTTTAAAAGTTGAGCCAAACCAAAGTCAAACGAAATCAACCTCCAACTTGGAACCATTGTAGGCCCTTATCAAAACCCAAAACAAAATTTAAAATTTTTTTGTGTTAGTCTCACAAGCAAAATATATGATAAATAAAACAATAAACCACATCATATTCTTATAGAAACTAAGCATGATTCGCTCTTCACTCATATCCATCATGAATATGCTTCATCACCTGAAAAGCTTCTCTTTACTTTGTCCCCACTACTCGGGATTAGAAATGGGTCACCGTAAGGCCAAGATAAAGACAAGGTCAAACAAACATACAAACACACAATCAGCAATGATGAGTACATAAGCGTAAACAGTACAAACTAACATGCTTTCATCCTATCAACACATAACTTACCTTGTTGCACCTGTTACAAGCATATAACATACCAAACGACCAACCAATAAATAAATGAATTGCTTATTTAATTTGATTACGCATCGAACGTGTTTTCCACCAGATCCCTGCCCCAAATAAATTGAGGTAAACTACACCGGGAGCTAACCGGATAGGCAAATGCTACATGAAAGTGACTGGACATCCTGCGCATAAAATAAATAAAGGAAAATACAACGTCTTGTACTCCTAGTAAAAGTTATGATCAAATATAAAGTCGCATAACTCTCCCCATATGTTCATACTCAAGGTATATACGTTCCAATAATTCCAATAATTGTTGTAATTATGTTTAAAAACACCTATTTCAATAATTCCAACCAACGTCAATCAATTTCCATCAATATACGTTAATTTAGAAACCTAGGGTTTTCAATTTGGGGCTTTTTAATTCAAAAACTAAATCTGAAAATTATATACAAACTAATCATTATTCAAACACCATAAAATCATCACACACACCAAAAATAATAATTAAATCAAAGTTGGATTGAATTAAAACAAAAGAGAAAGAGGTTTTTTTTTTTTTTTAACCACACGCACAAGGGGAGGGAGGACGGCTGCCGCCGCCTCCCACTGGCGACTGCTGCCGACGAGTGCTGGTGGTGACCGGCCGGTGGTGGTGGTGGCAGCCGGCCACCCGTGCGGCGTGTGTGTGTGTTGTGCAAGGTGAAAGCAAAAGGGGAGGGGGGAAAATTAAGGGAGAGAAAATAAAAGGGGAGAGAAAGAGAGTTTATCTTTGGGTATTCTCCACCTTGGGCAAGATCTAACTTGCTCATAAGATGGATATTTATACCCCCTCTCAAAACCCTCCTAACCTTAAATTCCCTTTTTACCCTTAATGGTTCATTCTCCTATTCAAACTAGTCATTTGATTTCCTTTAAAAATTCTATTGACTTTAAAACTTCCTTTTATAAAATAATATGCCTCAAAGTTTCTATAAAATAAAATATTTTCAAAGCAATTAATAAATAAAAATGGACCTTTAATTAAAATAAACCTTTTTAAATTAATAAAATACCATAAATAATTCATTCAAATTATTCAAATGCTTCATAAAATAATGTTTAAATTAATTTACGTATAAAAATACGGGGTATTACAAGACTAACCCCGGGCCGGACCAGACTGAATTAAGTGGTCGGGTCTTCGGGTCTAGAAATTTATTTTTTCGGTCTTTGGTCAGGTCCGGTCCAAAACCCTATAAATAAATGGTCTTGGACCGGACCGATTTTTTTGCTTAAAATTATGTGTGAAACCTTAAATAATAGTTAAGATTATCCTTAATAAGCTTAGAAAACTTTAATTTTATGAGCTTTTTTGTACTAAACATACAAAAAAAAAAACGTTAAAATATAGTTTTTCCTTTACTTTTTTCGACTTTTCCATAAAATTATTAAAAATTTAGATTTTTTTAAAAAAAATCTTAAATCGGTCCAAAGCGGTCCGATTCGAGGTTTGGACCGATTTTTCGGTCAAGTCCGGGTTTGGTCCCAACTTAATCGGTCCGGTCTTTGGTTCTTAAAATTCTAATTTTCGGCCTGGCCCGGTCCCGTCTTGAACAGCCCTAAGCTTGATATAAATTATATACATATAACAAAAAGATATTTTGCGATATATAACCTACTGAGTTAAGAAAAATCATCGTATAACTTTTATATCATGAGTGAACTTTTGATTAATGCAAGTCTAATTAGTGACCCCCTATACGTCCCTACTTTTTTTGTCTCATTGCATTATTGTGAGTTAAACTTAAAAACTTTGACTTCAAATTATCACTAATCTATAACAAATTGTTAAAAACTGTCGTGTGGGATCTTATTGAATTAACTTTAATGTCAACCTTTAGAATGTCAAATTTTTATAATTTTTTCATAAGCCAATTTGGAGATATTTACATATTAAGGTTGGTTTGGTGATATACGCCTCCTTAATTAATAGAGTTAGCAAATTTGAACTTGCAACCTAATGTACAAATGCCCTCAATCTTAAGCTCTTAACCACAAAGCAATTTCTCATTGGTTGTTTTTAAATACTATGCACTCCATCCATATTTATTTGTTTTGTAAAACAAATTAAAACATGAGATAATGCCATCACTTTTCATATAGTGTGTTTTGGCATGTATTAAGCTACCTAAAATTTATCTTTAAATATTTGTTTTATAATATTAACTCTATAATAAATATAATTATATGTGCTAATAGTATCAATACAGGTTATGTTGAAGTGTAAACTTTTCAAACAAAACATGTAAGACTTCAACATTGAGAAAATAAGAGAAAGTTAAATACTCTTTATAAGGTTAAGGGAGGCTATTCCTCCTATTGTTATATGATTTTGTAATGAAACCTCATTGGACTTGTGATTTGGTCCAATGTTAAGGATAACTCACATATGAAGGGGAGTGTTGAGCCCCTTGAACAAACCCACATGTGAGCGAAATAAGTCAATTCAGCAAAAATAAGATTTGTGATTTCACTCAAACTTTTAATTACTATTTTACATATAATAAGATAATAATCTTTAATTAGGATAATATTATATTTTAAAGGATCCAATGTGATATAATTGATATTTTTTTTTTTTGGCTATATTTCATTCCCTTTCAATTGGTATTAAGTAAAACTTAAAATTTCCAAAGTGAAATTATATCTCTAGTTTCCTTTTGTTGTTGATTTTTAACCCTTTTTACAAAATTTGTGGTGGATTTGGATTTGTAAAGAGTATAGTGCAATATTTTAAGAAAAATTTGGCAAATTTGGAGAGATAGGTTTCAATTTGTGATCATAATAGATATTAAATAAACAAGAAATAATAAAAGTTAAGAATTAATCACAATGTGAATTGTGAAAGAGTTACAGAATAATTCTAAATAGCTAAATAGTACTCCAAAATACATCAAAAGTTAAAATTATAAATAAGAAAGTTAATGGATAAAAAACCTTCAAATAAATCCGTTAAACAAAACCGACTAATAAAACCGTTTAATAAAAACAAGCTCAATAACCTTGGATAGCAAAGCACAAAAACACAGAATTTTGACATAAAGTGTTAAACAAAACAAATCGAAAAAGACATTATATACAAGTAACAAAAATTGAGATTAGATATTAATGGACACCAAATGATCAAAACCAAAATGCAGTGGTAAGATACTAAATATTCTATTCTTATGCATTGCCACAAAATTAGCCTTTCATCACTCCTCTCCCTTTTGCTATCATCACATTGACCCATAACTTTTACCCTAAAACCCCCTTAACCAAAAACCATGTTCCATAATCCAAATTCTCCCCTAATCTTCTTTGATTAACCATTATTCAAATCCCAAATTACCCCAAAAATACCATTATTTTTCTTTCTTTCTTCTTCCAAATCTCAAATTCTCTTCACTCATATTTTTGCATCAAACAGTTTTGTTGGTAAAAATTAAAAAAATATACACAAACACAAAAATTAGATTTGAGAAGAAGATTAGAAATTAGAGAGAGAAAAGAAAAAACTAACACACAGTATGGTAAAGCGCAGCCATCGAACGGAAGAAGGATGAAGATGACAACAACAACGTTTCTTCCCGGTTAAAAAATAGATAAAAAAACCCTCTTTTTTTCTTCTTCGAAACGTTTCGTATATCCCGCCATTGTTACTTTCTTCCATTTTCTCTCTCCTCTCTCTTCGTCCTTTGTTCTTCATTCTTCAACCAATTGGATCTTCTTCTTCTTCATCTTCGGTTTCAGTTTCGATTTCGATTTCTGCGGTTTTGATTCTTCGGTTTGATTTGGAGTGGTGAATTCTAGGGTTTATAAATGGTGGAAGGAGGAGGAATTGCCGGAGAATCTTCGAATTCGGCGTCGAGAGCGGCGACGGCGTTTGTGAAAATCGGTGACCGGACGAGGTTTACGGTGGAGCTGAGACCTGGTGAGACTACTATTGTTTCATGGAAGAAGCTTATGAAAGATGCTGCTAAGGCTGAAGGTGCCTCTTCTTCCGCCGCTGCTGCTGCCGCTACCGCTGCTGCTGCTACCGTTCCTGTCGCTGCGGCTGCTGCCAGTGGTGCCGGTGTTGCTACCGCGGCTGCTGTTGCTGCTCCTACGGGTCTGAATAATTCGCTTACCGCACTCGAGTCTCGCCTTGCTCCGGTATAATTAGTATTGTTATGTTAATAGTCTTATGAATTTCCAATGTTGGGAGTTTGAATTCGTTTTTATTTTTATTTTTATTTGGATTAGAAATTAGAATGCCGTGTAATGTTGCTTAATTGAAGTTTTTATTTGTGTAAGTTGAATTTCGTGTTTTTTCGATTAATTTGCTGGTTTTATGTGTTTTTGTTGATTGTTGTTTTCAAAGGTTTCGAGCAATGAGTTTCAGATTGTTGGTTGTTATTGTAGACGAATGTCAATTGGCAAGAATTAGTTTTTGCGAGATGTAAACGATTAGAGATACAGTGATACCGGATTATGATCGAGTTTTGAATTAGGCACCTTTTCTTTTGAGTTCATTTTTTTTTTGAGCTGTTTGTATTAGCTGAGTAGCCGGTGTTGGGTTTAGTATTAGGATTTCCGCTTGTATTTATTTGAAATCAATTGAAATTATACTGCAAGTATATCTAGTTGTGATCTGTTGTTGGGTGTGTGTTAATTACATAGTACATTGTTTATTGTTGATCTTCAATTCATTCAATTAGCTATTTTTGAGTTAATTTTTCAGCTGACGAGTGTGGCATACTTATATCACCAAAACAGAGAGAGAGAGAGAGGGGGGGGGGGGGAAGCTTCCATTCTTACAAAACAGGGTCATTTATCATCTGACTGGAATAGATTAGTGATATTTTTTTTCCCCTTTTGTTTAGATAGATCGAACAGTTATTGGGATATTACTTTTTGTTTTGCCCTTATCAGTCATCACAGTAACCATAGCTAGACTTGTTTTAGTTCATTGTGTTCATGTTCTTCTACATATTCCTCGAGGAGACATTACATAGTCAATCATTTGTATTTGATTGTGTGCGAATGATGTGTTGAGGTTTTGGTTGAAGAAGTATGCTACTTGATCTTTGATAAAAATTAAGAACAGCTTTGGCTGTGAGGATATAGACCCTTCATGTTGAAACATTGCACTGTACTTTTGGCTCAATTACTTGGTTGTATACTTTGGAAAGATTTGTTTTCGCCATGCTGATTTGTCTTAGCTCCTATTTTTATTTGGCCAAGAGTAAATAGATTCTGGGAGTTTCCCTTCTTTGTTAAAAATAACAATTTTATGAGAGGCTTAAGTAGTAACATATGTTAAGATGCTGTTTGCTTCTCACAATTGTAGGGACAACCTGCTGCAAATGATCTGAATGATGCACCTGCTCCTAATCGTTTCAGTGCCGTTATTGAGAAGATTGAGCGTCTGTATACGGTGAGAACTTTTTATTGATTAATGGAGTGATTAACTTTCATGTTAAGTGTTTGCTTGGAAATTACCTCCTCTTAGTCATAAACTTGTAAAAGTCAAGTTGATCCTTTATCTTGAAGGGTTTTTTTTTATTTAATTTAATTAATTAATTTATTTATTTTTTAATTTTTACGGTTGAACTTACTATCTCAGGGCAAGGATAGTGATGATGAAGATCTTGATGACATTCCAGATGATGATCAATATGATACCGAAGATTCATTTATTGATGATGCTGAACTGGTTGGTACTTGTATCTGTACTGAATTGTGTGGAGACATTTGGCTTTGTTCCTGTTCTTTTAGTTTGTTTGCCTTTGAACTTTGGAGTTGTTGGCCTCAGCTATGACTTAATTTGAGATCAAAATTTTGATGATCACTGTTGGCAGTGGTTATATCTTACTATGAATTAAATCTGGTTGTCTATATTATTGTTCAGGATGAGTACTTTGAAGTTGACAAATCAAAGACTAAGCATGATGGTTACTTTGTTAATAGGGGTACGCTGGAAAAAGTGTAAGTACTTAATTGTTTACCATGCATTGTTTGTCTTTATGCTCTGCTTCTGCTGAGAGTATAACAGAAAAAATATGGATTTATTTCATCATAATTGTTAAGTTGAAAGAATTTCGTTGGACATTTGGAGCCCCTTTGTCATAGCTTTTGTTTGTTGTGCGGCTGTGCCCTTGTTAAATGTTTCTCTTAGCCAATCTCCCTCCCCCCTCTCTTTGTCCAAAAAAAAAAGTCTCTGTTTTTATTTATATATTGTTTTAATATTTTGGATTGTATCATCTGAAAAAAGAAAAGTGGTTGTTCTTCCCTTGTTTAAGATTTGAAGTTCCTTTTTTATTTAAATTGGAATCTCTATCTATTTATTTTCTTACCTGAAATTGCACCGACTCAACTTCAAAGTATGGCCTAATTTTTCATCTTTTTATTTGATGTTTCTTCCTTTAACCTAGAAATGAGCCAGTGGAGTCAGTTAATCATCAGCCAAAGAAGAGGAGGAGGAAGGAAGTAGCAAAGGCTCCTGGGGATAATCATGATGGTCAGGGTGCCATTAAGCCCATGAAAGTGGGCAAAAAGGGTGCTGGCAAGTCTGCCTTATCAGCTGACAAAGGCATTTTGCCTACATCACAAGGTCCTTCATTGAAGAGCTCTGAAGACATGAAATTTCAGAATATTCTGAAAAACACTGCTGACTGTAAATCTTCGTTGGATCCTTCTGCATCTTTGAGGACTTCACATGGTGATGCATCCTCAGCCTTAGCAGAGAACAGTGACAAGCAAAAGACTGGGATAATGGCAAAAAATTCTAGTGGCAAGCTGAGGGAGGCTAGCGAAAATGGCGATAAATCCGAATTTATGCATAAAAGTCAATCCCTTAAGCCAAACCATGTTGAGGAATCTGATTTAGTGGCACAGCCAAAGGATAAGAGTGGCATGCGTGAAAGGATAGACCTTAATCTTCCTGACAATAAGCAGACTATACAGCCTATGGTAAGCAGATGCCCTTTACTTTGATGGGCTCTACTCTTGTGATTTAAGATGTTGCTTACATCTGATTTGCAGAATTTGTATTATTTTCTATCTGAAGTTTTGTATTGCGTTTCCTTGTTATATTCTCTATTAAATTTGTTTAGAACACAAATAAGGTTATTATCTTTGTTTAAGGGGACAAGTAAAAGTCAAAACTCAAGAGTCAATACATTGTGTGCACACAACAGCAATATGTATTGTTGTTGGCTTTGTAATGATATTGTTACAACCTTATTTTTAATATAAAATAATTCTTGGTTGTATTACTCCCTCTGTTCTAGTTATAGGGTCATGCTTATGTTTTTTTTTTTGGAAAATAAGAAAGAAGTTTTATGTTTCTATTAATTTTATGGGTTTTCACCTATAGATATTGTAGGATGGATGGAGTACTTATAGTATGTCATAAATCAAGGATGAATATAATAAACATTAACAGTGTGTTTGGGAAACTTATTAATGAGTTTTCTTTGTAACCTCATAAGTATGCCATAATTAATTTATTCCAATCCTTTTGTCTGTATATTTACGAGTAAATTATCTTGTCCTATGTGACTTGACTGTAGAGTTTCTCGTCTGCTTTCTTGATGAATTCTCCTTTCTCTAAGAGGGGTTGTAATTGGTCTGCTTTGACTGTAAAATTTGGTAGATGCAATCATACTATGTTTGTGAACTTGGCATTTATAATTAAGACTAATTAAAGGTGTATAAATATACGGATTCTTCAGTTATACCATGTTTGTTTATGGGGTGAGAAAAAAATGAAAAGTATAATTGTAGAACTGTGGAAATCTTATTGTTAGATATGGGTAATATAGTTTTCTTTTCAAAATTGATGGAAAAATTACTGAAAACTTTGGAAACTTAAAATGCTCGTGATTTTACTTGCAATGTCAATATTTTTCCTCATCAAACAAACCACACAAAGAAAGAACATTTTCTTTAATTTCAATTGTCAAACTAATAAAATCTTGGTATCTAAACAGTTTGCTTTTGTACATATTTCTGTACTTTTACTTTTCCATAGATTTACTTGTTAATAAAGTTTGCGAACACTGTTAATGTTAATCATATTCATTCTTGATTTACCTGAGTTTACTGTTTCTGAATTTGTTTTGCTGCCTTCCTTCTTTGGTAGCTTTAAATGATGCATAGCCATCATAAAATGTCCATCTGCTTGGAGTTCTATGCAATGTGTGATAGCTAACAGCAGTGTGAAAAGGCTTGCAAATCCTGTAGTTTATTTTATTAAATGTTATGATGTTATTACACAGCTGTGTTAGTATCCAGTGATTTTATACCTTATTAGTTCTAGAATGTGTAAAACATTCTGTGTAGAATAATTGTAATTATACATTTTTACATAGGAAACATTTGCCTCGCTTTGCTTAGTCCATACATATGCCTCTCCCCTTATGCTTGGCTTTTGGAACCTTGTCGCCTCTGTGCACTTTATGCCTTATAAAACACTGGTTAATGGGTTTTTATTATATTTACTTTTATTTTCTTAATGATGCTCTGTTTTCAATTATGTCTTATAGATGGCGTATAACTATTTTTTTATTCTGTTTCAGCACATTTACATTTACTAATGACTTTTCTTGTAGTTTTTTTTGCTATATATATAAATTCTAGTTGTTTATGCCTATTAAATTCATTCCATAATACTGGTTCTGGAGTTGGACTTCTGGTCGATCTATCCTTGATAGTAGTGACCGCATCAATTAAGGGCTTACATAAGAGTGCATTGATTTCTGATGGCTAGGTCCCTCCTGTCACTTCATCCAATTCTTGCCTTTTGGTTTAAAGTTCTTTGCTATTATTACATATAGGCTTTCTCCCTTTTCTCCTTAGGTGGTTTACGCATTGCATAAAACTGCAGGGTTTTTTGGATTGCTATGTATGTTTAGCAGTAATCAGTATGTTGACTTGATTCTTCATTTGCAGAAAAATGCTGTCTTGCATAAAAAGGAAGGTTCTAGTGTTAAGCCCAAAGCTAATGTGTTGGAGAAGGCCGTTAGAGAACTGGAGAAGGCGGTTGCAGAATGTGAGGAGCATGCTTTCTTGGCATTGGTTCATCGATACTGTATCTTTTTTCTAAGCCTGATTGTAATTTTGTTCCTCCAACCTTGCAGCGAGACCACCAGCTCCAGATGCTCAAGATGCTGACTCATCAGGGCAGTCTGTCAAAAGAAGATTACCTCGAGAAATCAAGCAGCGGCTTGCCAAAGTCTCTAGACTAGCGGTATGTGAACATAATCTGGATTGGAACCTCTTTTTGTGTATCTTCTGGTTTTGATCTTTATTTTTCTTACATCTTTGTATATACGCTTGGGGATTGTAAAAAACTAAAGTAGTCTGCTCATGGTTTTGCAGCATGCAAACAATGGTAAGGTGTCAAAGGAACTCCTGAACCGTCTTATGGATAGTTTGGGGCATTTAATTCAGCTCCGAACCTTAAAGGTAACTGTTTAATAGTAATTACTGATCTGAGCTTTGACATGTTTTATGTTGATGAAATGTTATAAGCTACCCAAGCTGCAATCTCCATTTGACATTTTCAAGATGCTTCCTCTTCTAATCTTCTTCTTATGTGATGAAAAAATTTACCAAAATTATGATTTCCTTATTGCTGTTTTGTTTTATGATAATAAAACTGTGAGGGTTTCACTATTGGATAAGATAGAAAACTGGTTGGTTACTTCTTAGTTATTGGTCTTCTTGCTGCTCATGGATGTATCTGATTGGACTTCTTAGTTATAGTTGAATGAGTTTGAGTTTAATGTGCAGCGGTTTTATATCATTTTAAAACATCTCTTTTGTATTTATTGACAGAGGCACTTAAAATTAATGATGACCATGAGCCTGTCTGCGAAACAAGAGAAAGATGACAAGTTCCAACTAACAAAGAAGGAGGTTGTTGAGATGATTAAAACTCGTATTCCGTCCGTGATGTCTAAGGTACGCACATGCATGCACTTTTATATTATCTCTTAAATAGGTTTTTGTGGAAGACCGTTGTACCTTTAGAAAGTGTTTTCTTTTTAAGATTTAAATAATACTTTCTTCTGTAAGCTTCCTCTCCTGTTCTGGGTTTGTAGGAATATAAGCTTTATGACATGGTGGACTAGTAGCTTTAATATATTAATGTGTTGGTGTTTGCCAAACCTATGATAGGGATTTGTTCTTTTCTTTTTTATAAGGATAACTATCTAAGGTTTTTGTGGAAAGTTGTTGCTCCTTTTGAAAACATCTAATAAACATGTTTTGGTGCACACATCTAATAAATTTGTAAGATATTAATTGAACTTTTCTTCTGTAATCTTCCAATTCTGTTTGGTGTGTAGGACTATAGGTTCTATGACCTGGTGTACTGGTAACTTTAGTTGATTAATGTGTTGGTGTTTGCCAAACCTAAAATTGGGGCTTGTTCTTTATATCATTAAAAAGGATAACTATCTAAGGCTTATGTGGAAGGCTGTTGCTTTTAGAATCAACATTTTCTATTAAATCTGTAATATATACATAAACTTTTCTCCTGTAATCTCCCTCTTCTGCTTCGGGTGTGTAAGACTATAGGCTCTACTACCTGGTGGATTAGTAGCTTTAATAGATTAATGTGTCGGTGTTTTCCAAACCTGAGAAAGAGATCCGTTCTTTTTCCTTAAAAAGGACAGTTATCTAAAAATTTATCAAAGAATTTTGAGTTAAGAGTTCAGATTCCATATGCTGCTGTCATATACTGGGTTTGGTGCTGTGATATACATGTCTGATACCAATAAGTATTCATGTTGCTGATGTAATGATTTTTTGAGGTAAGTCAAAGTTAAGATCCATTATAGTATATGTTTTTAGCTGCTTTATGTTAACTAATACAACAAAGTGTTGTATTGAAGATCCTGCTGAGGGCAGGGTCCTGGGTAGGGAAAGATGCCTGTAGGAATAGATCTTTTACTGAGATACGTGCAATGGTCTTGATCTAATACTTTGAAAGAACATGATTACTTCCTGTAGTTCATTACATTTGTCTTGCTTAGAAAAAACATTCAGAAGAGTTTAAGAGGACCAATAGTTAGAGACTAGGAGCTATGCTCTTTGTAGAGTGATTATCACTTCTAAGACAGTTGAATTGAAATAGACCAAAAATAGAATATACTGAAATCTTGGATTGGGAGAGATTATCTTATATGATTCATCAGCTTACTGGATCAGAGGAAAAACATGTAGCATGTATATTGTGGTTTGATTTGTTTCTTATATCTGTATATGGCAATATCGCAGGTAGTTTGTAATTTGGTTGGCCTACATGTACGAAACAATTATTATTCTTTAGTAGAGAGAATCTAGCTCTCAGCTCAAAAAAGAGAGCATAATCTGAATTTACCATGTTGCACCTATTTGCAGGCAGCTGAGCAACAAGGTGGAGGATCGGCTGAATTTCAAGAGGGTGGTCTTTTAGAAAAAACAGGAAAAGGGCAGATTTGTATGGATGCTACATTGGAGGATAAGATTTGTGATCTCTATGATATTTTCGTTGATGTATGACCATCAATACTGTATTTCATTTTAAGCAAGTAGATACCAAAAAGATGATAAACTTTAAAAATGAATGATTTTCTTTTATAGTTTATTTAATCTAGGATAAGGCAATTTTTTTTCTTTAATCAGGGACTTGATGAAGATGCAACTCCTCAAGTCAGAAAATTATATGCTGAGGTATGCTACTATTTCATTGTTGTCCGTTTGTAGCATGTTATTGCTCGCCTCTATGGCTCTGCTTTCCTTTCTTTTTTGTTTTTTCTATTGAGCATTCTTGGTCATGTCATGTGTAAGTTATTATTATTCCTTCAATGGTGGAATATGCTCTTACCTGGTGATTTTCTTGTATACAAAGGAGCCTGTCTTTGTGTGAAATGAAATTTTAAATAACATGCTAACGTCATCTCTCTAGAGAAAAAATAGACAATGAACTGAGATTTTAAAGCATGCAATATATTCTAACTTGAGGTGCTTCCATAAGTCCATAGATCTTTTTTCATTGGCTGCTCTTGCTAAACTTGTTGAGTTGTTCAACTGATATAGTCCATCAAGCTTTTGCAAATCTTATGTGATAAATTCTCGGTTTGAGGATCACAGTATTCTAGGAGTGTTGCCAGCATTAGTAAAGGCAATGCTGATATGACCAACAGCTTGCCTATCTGTGTATTTTTTTCTAGTCTTTTTCCCCCTTTCCTGATTTAGAAAGTGGGTCACTTGTTTAATTTATTTGGTACTATCACTAATATATTAATAACCACTTATGCTTGGACAATTACATATTACTCTTTATTTTTATTATTATTTTTATTTTATTTTATTTTTGTTTGTTTTAAGTGCATCGGTTTGACCGGCATATAGTTTTATGAAAGTGAGTTGAATGGAGTAAAATATTGTTGTGGGGTTTTGTTGGGGAATTGAAAGTTATACTCTAGGGATGTTAGAGGAGGGAACTAATAAAAAAAGTTAGAGTGGGGACCATGTGAGGAGAAAGGTGTAATAAAAAATAAGGATGTCCATAAAAGGAAGTGATGCACTTAAAAAAAAAAAAAAACAGCCAATGTAGGAAAGTGATGCAATAAAGCTTCTATTTATAGGCCTTGGAGGCACTTAAAATGGAGGGAGTACTGTTTCATGTTTTGTATTGCAATATGCATGAGCTGAGCTTAACCAACATAGGTGCTCCCTGAGTTAGCTGATTATGCATGAAGGAACCAAACTTTTCTTCTAATTTGATTCATAATCTGATGTAGCTGGGCCATTTATAAAGAGTGCTTGCTCACAATACAAATTTTCTTTTTTGTAATCCATTAGAGATTTGTCTTGGAGATATATATAAAGTAAAGTTGCTATGGCACCTTTTCCAAATTTTACATAGTGCTGCTCTTGGCAATCCGGGATTTGAGAGATTAGCTTATTTCGATGTTGCTGGGTATTTGTTGACTTAGTTCTTGGTTCATTGCTTTTTGAATTTCACTTTTCAATTGCTAGTCAATTGTGGCATCTACCTCTTTTCCGCAGAAATACTTCATAGTCATGACTTTTGTTACTCTTACTCTTTACTTTATTCTGTTATTTGTTTCAGTGGCATTACTTGCATTGCATCTTTTAATTTTCTTAGAATAATTGATACTCATTGTTTTCATTATTTAGCTTGCTGAACTATGGCCTAAAGGAGTCATGGACAATCATGGGATTAAGCGCGCTATATGTCGAGCAAAAGAACGGAAGAGGGCACTGAATGAGAAGAATAAGGTGGGGATGATCTCCGAGTATATGTGCATCTACTGAGCTTTGGATGTCAGCTAGGGTTGCTTACTACAATCTATTGTTTCTTATGGTCTGCTATTTGCTTGTTTTCTGGTGTGGACAGTAGTGTCTATTGTTTTTTTCACTTACACAGGGCATATTATTTTCAGTTTAGTGGTGATGTGGGGTTAAGGACTACATGGTACTTGTTCGTCAGTTCATGTGTGGAATTTTTAATTGATAGCAATCACAGCATGGTTGTGCTACTTGAAACAAGGTTCTTGACCTCTGTACTTTAGATAAATGTTTGTTTTTGGTTATTTTTTGGATTGCCTAGAAGATTGTCCTAGGCGTCTTTTTTGAAAGATTTCCCATTTGAAACTCTTATTGCCTGAACTTTTACTTAGACATAATTTGTCTTCATGCTACTCTCAAGGTTTGCCGTGTTTATTCTTTATGTGACAAGGTCTTCCTCACTTCTTTTTTGTTCTGCTTGATTTTGTTTCCCTATGGCGGCCATTTGTGGTGATATTATTTAAAGTTTGATGACTTTGATTTAAGTAGTAATCTGTTCTGTGATGATTTTTAATATCAGTGTAGCTTTAAAAAGTGCAATTTGTGGAATCATTTTTCTTTTTCTAGTGTTATTATGTCGTTATTTTACTTTATTTATGAGTTTGATTCATTGGGGTTGGAGAAAGGAGGAGTTTTACACGTATGACAGTCAATTATTCCTTTTCATTGGATTATTTTTATATCAATTTATCAAATATTACTTCCTGAACTATATTGCTCCCACACTTCATTTGTAATGCTGTTCTTTCTAGAATCTTTTGGAAGATCCCTTTTGTGCGGCCTACTGATGAAGAGAATGAAAACCAGAGAGTGTAAGCAGACCTTGTACTCCCTTTGCTTTGGATTAGTCATGGCACTAAGTGTTGCACATAATTAAGGCTTTAAGACTATAGGTTGTAACTTTATAAAATTAAGTGGGATTATCGGAGCATTTATATTGCGTGAAAAGGGATATTAGGACTTGATAATAATATATTTGAGTTGGTGGAGCAATTTTAGGGGGCTTGGTGGGTAACGGTCTGATTATTGGCGCGACAAGCCGAAAAATGGGATCAATTTCCCCTCCCATAGCTGTGTATCTACCGCTTTCCTTCAAGTGAGTTCTCGGGGTGGGCTGACTCTTGTTAAAGTATAAGCTTGCTTTTCCCTTGCCTTTTTGTTCTATAAAGGTATTTTTTTACCAGTGTGGAGCCACCTTCTTCGTACGGCATGCGACAGTCCCGTTCTTTGCTCGACGAGACTGCTTTGGTTGGCCATCCACCTGTCGGACCGACTCTCAACCAGGTAGTGTCCGGGAGCCACCTGTTCTTTCCTGGCTAATACCCGCCTTTATACTGTGTGAAAATGAGGGAGTAGGATTTTATAATGTGTAGTGAAGCTAGGAGCTATTTAATACTACTGGGCCCTTTCCCAATGATGAAGTGTTGCAGTCAATCAGAAACGACTGATAAAGGTAAATGCTGTGATTAATATGATATGGTGGGAGTATGAATTTAAGATCTACACTTTCTTGGAATTGGCTTGATCTTGTAGGTTCAAACCCTTCTCACCACATGATTGGTGGTAGATCTCGTAGATGGCTTTGATCCTAATGGGTAAGGACCATGGTCTTGATTTGATCAGTTCTTACTTCTTGTCCCCACTACCGAAATAATATATGTATTTTTCTCCAACCGATTTCATTACATATGGACATATGGTACATTAGTATTTACCTCATCTAACATTGGTTTGGAAGCTGTTTTGAAGACTGCCGCTTCAATGATGCAGCTATGATAGTTTGGCTTTTTTATGTCTAGCAATTGCTGTCTTTAGATATTATTCTACTTCAATTACTAGATTATCTCAATAAAGTGCTCCAAAGATAAAAGTCATTATTGATGTGCTAAGCTTGCCTCTCCCCATTCCGTGTACGAAAAAGGAAAAAACAAAGATGCTTACCAAAATGAGTTATGGCAAGAAGTTGAAGTGGTTCTCACTTTTAAGTAGCAGGGACACAAAATACTTAGTGATCCCTTTATTATGCTTTTGATGTGGTAGTTTCTGTTTCTGCACTTTTAGGTTTTTTCTTGAGCCTATATTCAGGATTTGTTCCTAATCTAGGAGAGTTGCCATAAAAGGTGTATGTGCTGCTTACTGTTAACTAATGTGATACAAAAATGACCGTTAAGTTGATTTAAGGGCATTATTTTAAGGAATTTTCTTATATAGAAAGTTGACCCTAAATGAAAAGATAACATACCAAATTTGTTACTAAAATATTTTATTGGAAGTGTAAGGAATATGTAGGGTCATTCTTACGTCTTATGTTTAATTATTACATGAATGATATGTTTATTGCTGAATTTACCAAGTCTATAGAATACTTTGCTTTTATATATGATTTTGCTTGATCTATTACGTTTTCAAAAACTCGCATAATAAGAAAAATATTGGTATGCATTCTAGTAAAATATCAGTGTTCTCTAGTATGTTAACTAATAACATACATGCATTATTGCTAGGACCAGAGATCTTGCAATTTTTTCAATTTTATGGCTAGAAAGTAGAATCAGGTTCAGGGGTTCATTTGATGATTAGACATGTCTATTTTCTGGAACTTATGTCCTCTTAAATTAATGTGTGCCATTTCATATCTGGGGTGCAAGGGTTGTTTTCAGGTGCTTGAATTGATGTGGAGCACTAGTACATTGCTCAAAAAATAATCTCAAGTAGAAATATCTTTCCCTTTTTTTTTTTGGACTGCCGAGAATCTCCCTTTAGTCCGTATACCTTGTTTGGTAGGTGGCAATAAATCTTGATAATTTGAATGAATTTGTTTGCATACTTGTAAGGAAAGTCCTACATCTATGACCATGGTAATTCTAGTTTATTCCAATTTATTTCTTTTTCCATAAATTTCTCCATTACCCCTCAACGAGGTTGTAATTTGGTAAGGAGGATTTTTTTAAGAAAAACACTGGTTTGGGGATAGGTTTGCATTATTATGGACGTTACACGTTAGGACGATACAATCTTTGCAAAATTTCACTTGGTATCATTCTTTCCGCTTATTATGACTTTATGATCACCCATATATTTTGTTGTTTGATGTTTTAATTTTATTTTGGTAATTTAATTATTTATATTTATTGTCGAGTTAGTGGAATCGTCGGTTAAGGGAGACTAAGTTGTCTCAAGTTTTCATTTCTTAATAAATATCAAGGTTTACACTTGTATAAGTGCCAGCTGTAAGAGGCTATTGTATTTTCCACTCTATACATGTTTGTTTAGGTATTTTTATTTTTACTACATGTACATTCCCGTGCCATGGTACTAGGGATATATGCTTGTGTGTGTGTGTGTGTGTGTGTGTGTGTGTGTGTGGTGAACCAGTTTACTTATTTCTCATGCTGGGCTGCATTTGTAGTCTGAATTCAAGGATTTAGATTGTGAATTGTTATGGATATTTGAGGTAGATACAAAAAGAAAACATAAATGATGATCGGATGGAAATTTTTATCTGATATCCTGAATTACAATTCCAGCCAACTAGTATGATCTTGGGGAATTTCCTGATAATGTGTAATTAGCTGCTGTTTTGACCTGCCACTTTTCTTGGGTATCGATGGACCTTTGGGTGGGGGAATGTCATGAAATCATCAAATGAGTAGCAATTTATTAGAATTTAGACTGCTATTTCTATTTTAGTAGTTCCATTTCAGTTACTATGTGAAGCTGCTGGTAATTGTGGCATCGGGCTCTTCCTTGGTCTCTCTTTATGTGTCACTCCTCCCTTTATCCCACCCCATCTTTAATTCTATGTAGGCTTGTTAGTTTGTCTTTTGGGATCTCTTATTCAGTGGTGGATGCCCTTTTTTAATTAATTTTTAAATTTTGTTTTTTAAATTTATTGTTTTTGTTTCTAAAGCATCAGCCTAGCCTGGTCATGTATTCTTAACTAAGTATTAAAGATTTAAAGTTTATGTGCTAACTTCCCTATGATAGTAAATTCTGGGCTTGTGGTTTTTATCTTTTAAGATACTTCGTTGCCATTGAAAGGTATTGATCATCTGAGCTGGTTCCACATTGTCTCTCTTTTCACCATTTGTACTCGATTTTCTTCTGTAAAATGCTGTTTGAATTTGGTTAACCGATTTCGCTTATATGGTTGAATTTGATCCACTTTACTTTTTTATTTATTTATTTATTTATTTTTTTTTTTTTTTTTGGGGGGGGGGGGGGAACTGTTTTGGTTTACATTGTTTGCCTGATTGATCCTAGTTGGTTTACTTTAATAAAATTAGGCTGTTTTTCCATTGCGTTTATTTGATATGATTTAAATTACTTTGACCCTTTTTGCTTGTAATTAATGCAAATGAATAAAATTTGATCTTATTGAGTTGATTGTGATCCATTTGATCAAATATGGCTTAATTAAATTGGTTTACATTGTTCTTATGAGGTTTGATTGATCCAAGTTGAATAACTGTATTTCTTGAAATATGAGAAACATTTTGTTGATGTTGTGTTTCAAAACTGTGTTGTTTGTAATGCTCCATTCTTATACTAGCTCTTTGTCTCATAGTCTCTTTTAGCTTTGGTCCAAAAAGAAATAGGTTAGACTCCATTTTGATTACTCAAGGTGATCCTCTCATCCCCTTACTGATTTATTCTGCTCTATGCTAGCTTAATTTAGTTAATCTTGCATTCTTGTTTTTGCTTTTACTTCAGTTCTCTTGTTGTTTTTGGTGAATAGCTCATATTTTGCCAAGAAATAGGTTAGATTCCATTTTGATTACTCGAGGTGATCCTCTCATTCCCTTATGGGTTCATTCTGCTCCATGATAGCTTAATTTAGTTACCCTTGTGTTTTTGTTTTTGCTTTTACTTCAGTTCTCTTGTTGTTTTTGGCGAATAGCTCATATTTTGCCAGTATTTGTTTCTACTTGAACATGGAATTCATACCTGAGATAGTGAGATGATCATCATCGTTTGGATTGTGAGATTGTGCATTTACATTGAGTGGGTTTGCTATTGGCTTTAAACTTGTTTCAATTCACCCGATATGCTGCTGTGTGGACATGTAGAAAGTAAATTTTTACAGTTTAACCATGCATTGTCATGAGCAGTTAAAATCTGAAGCCATATGCCATGATGATGACCTTTAACTATGAATTAATAAAATATTCTGCTCCTGTACTCTGCAGGATCAGGAGAAAATCAGGAGGAAGAAAGTGCTAGCTGCAAACACAGAAGAAACTGTTCGTGTTGAGTCTAGTTCAGCTGTTCAATCGCAGTTTGTGGACACGAATATGGTCTCTGATCCCAGTATAGCTGTTGCAACTCAGCAAAATAGATTTTCCACTGTGACAAGTGCCGCACCTGCAACGACGACTGCAGTTAGCATAAGTATTGCCACTTCTGTGTCAATCCCCCGACAAATGTGCCCAATTTTGAACGTTTGAAGCAAGAGAAAGTGAAGGTAACACAAAACAATTCTCTGATAGATGGTAGGATTGTTGATATGGGTGTAAAGAAAAAGGTAAAGAAGAGGACGGAAAACCTGTTGGGAGAGATACCCTTGCGTTCTGAGAAGCTATCTTCTCATCAAGGCGATGATAGACAAAAACAGCCCAAACATGCTGCAACTGCTGGCCAACTTCAGAATTCTTCTCTTAAGTCAAGTTATGACGAGTTTCGGTTTGAGCCACTGACGTGATCCATACATCATCATCATCATCATCATCGTGAACCTGCTTGTGTAACAAAGTTGATTTTTTTTATTTATTTATTTTAAAATCTTTAATTCTCATCTCTCCCCTGGCTCCATTTATCTTCAGCAGGTGAGTTTAGCTTAGCCAGTTTTGTAATTAAATTGTCTTTTCTTTCTTTTAAAAGCTCATTTTTACTATTGAATAGAGGTAAAGTAGAGCTGTATGTAACCAGTAGTTGATAATCGTTCATACACCCTTTCTGAATCGTCTCTCTTTCCCAGCTTCATACAGCTTGAAAGGGCGAGTTTAACCATTTTCATTACTCTTTTGCAACACATCCATCAATTTGCTGGAGTTGTTGAGATCTGAGTTTCTTATCGTTGTTATAATTGAAAGATGAGACAAACCTTAATGGAAAGTTATCGTGATATTCATGACCATATCACAGATTTGTGAAGCATTCCTTTTTTTTTTTCTTTTCAAATTGACACCATCTTCCACTCTTGTTATCAACAATTGTCAAACAAATTAACACTGTAAAGCTCAATCTTTAACGTCAATAAGTCTATAATGAGGTAAACATAGCCCTGATTTTGTTACTAATAGTAAATCCCCAATTTAGTATGATTCCATAAATATTGGACTGTAAAATTTTGGGGTGGAGAAATCAATTTTTGATATCATGCGTTTTGAATTACGATGTGGATCATGATTCTTGAATAAGTATATTTTAAATTTCAATGTTTCTGAACATATTTACTATTTCATGGTAATTTATGCTTTTTATATATTTGTTGCTACTTATATAATTTTAGAACTCAGTTTCTCAAAAAAAAAAATATATACTCCGTATTTAAGAACTGTGTAAGTAATATATGAAATTATTGTTCATTACTCTGTATATTTGAACTATATAAAATATAAAAAATATGTTCATATATTGTTCAAACAAAAAAAAAATCTTCATTTTCTATAAACTAGCTGTTCTTAATCCAATATTTTGAACCTTTTGTTCAATCAAGATTATGATGAGCATCATGGTCCCAGTAATGGTATTAAAATTTCATCACCCACTTGACTTATTTCACCGGAAAGTAATAATAGTTGATGTTATGTACTCCGTAATATTTTCTCTATCTCTAAAAGATTGTCCTATACCTTATTTAGCAAATTTTTCCACTTGCACCCCTCTTGCTTTCTCTCTCTCTTCATACATAATTGTGTCCAGCCAATTGCACGAATATGGATTTGGTTTTTAAAATAAAATGAAATAAAGATATGAGACAATCTTTTAGAGATGGTAAAACATGTGACATTTTAAGCCTTATATTCTTTTGCACACTTAGCTTACTTATCCCTTCTACATATTTTGTAAGCCTTATATTCTTATGTGTGCAAAATGAAAATTCCCCATTAAAAAATTTGCTAGCCTCTTAGAATTAAGAGAAAATTTAAGTTTATCTTCTTGATGAACAAAATACTAGTTATCAAATGGTAAAATTGTAAATAAATCTACAACTTTTTATTAAAAATAGGCCTCATAATAGTTGATTTATTTACAATCATGCCATGATGACTAGATTATGGACCCCATAATAGTTGATTTATTTACAATTACGCCATGATGACTGGACAAAATTGTTGATTTATTTACAATTTTGCCATTTGATAAACGAATTTTGTTTATCAAGGAGATAAATTGGGGCTTCCTCATTAATATAATCCATCTCTACCAATCCGATCTTATTAAACAAAAAAGCTAACTCTTCTAAATTAAATTTATTTTCTATTTTTTCTTCAAATAGTTCAAAAACTTCAAATGCGTTAAGCCGAATCTTAACCGATTCTACTTGAACAATATAATGGGAAATTGTTTCCATATCAATGCACAAATAAGTTTGTGTTTTCGTATTTTGAATTGCTATTTGACGAAATAAAAATATTCAAGCTGACAATGTTAATACCTTCATACCCTTATTTTCAAATGTTATTACATCCTCACCCATACTTACCTTCTAACCACAAATTCATACCACCACACCACAACACCTACACTGCCACCACCACTAATACCCTAGCCACCGTCACCACCACCACCACCACCACCACCACCACGCAGCCACATTAATGAACGCATAATTATGTAAAATTAAATCAAATTAAGGACGACACATATTATAGACAAAATTATTAATTTTGACTAATTATGAAAAATCGAATTAGATGCAAAACATTAATTTTGACTAATTATTTTCGAAATATTTTAAAAAAAAACAATTTTTTTTAAAAAAATCGGTGGACATCTGTAGGAGATGTCTCTACCGTGGTAGGGACATCTCCGACAGATGTCTTTACCAACGGAAGAACATCTACAACAGATATCCTCCACGTGGTGGAGACATCTGAAGGAGATGTCTCTACCATGGTAGGGACATCTTCGACATATGTCTCCACCGTGGAAGGGACATCTCTGACAGATGTCTCCACCACGTTGAGGACATCTCTGACGGACGTTCGTAACCAACAAAAAAAATAAAAATAAAAACTTATCGGCGTGGTGGTCGGCGTTTTCCCCCGTAGTTGTTTCCCTTGACGAGACATGACGGTGGTGGTGTCTATCTCGCGCTTGCCCTAGTCGACGGAGCCTCGCCGGTGTTGCGTGGTGGGTTGCTGCCGTTGTGAAGAGCTTGTTGTCGTTTAGGCCCTTGTCGACAGAGCTCGACCAGTGTTGCGTGGTGGGCTGTTGCCGTCGTGAAGAGGTTGTTGTCGTTTAGGTTGGTGTTGTGGTGGTGGCTTGGTGAACAGTGTCAAAGAGATGGTGGTGTATGAGGTAGATTGGATTAGAGGGAAAAGATTATTTATAAGGGTATATAGGTCATTATAATATCGCCCTGAGTATTTTTATTTCGTCAAATACTAACTCGCTTTTGTATTATTCATGGAAATTGCTAAACTAGTGTTCCAATGTTCCATATGAAGTACTTCGTATTTTTCTTGCGCCATACTGAATAGAAATTCATCTCCCATTTTCCCGCGTTACAATTTCGCCTTCAGTCATCTTCCTCCCACACTCACTCGCTCTCTTCCTCTCAGCTACTCCAACACACTTTCTCTCTCCTCTTTTCTTCTTCCAATTTTCTGAAAACAATGGATTCAAAGCCATTTAAGGGTTCAAATGTGTTCATGTCAAGAAATTTAGTACCTCCCGAAGTGTTCGATTCTCTTCACGATGCCCTAAAACTCAACGGTGCTACTGTCTTCCTTTGTTGCGATCCTTCTCGCAATTCTCCCAACGATTTTCATGTCATCGCTTCCTCTCACCATGTCTGAATTACTCCTTTTCTCTCTAATTTGTGCTTAATTTACTGCTGTTTTTTTTTTTAATTTTTTGATTGAAATTTTGTTTCTGGGGTTTTCAATTTTGCAGGAAAAATTTGAGGATTTGAGGGCGAAGAAATGCAATTTACTAGGTAATTTGCGTGCTTTTATTTTGGGATTTTTTGTTTTAATTTGTTTGTATTTAGCTGGTGCTGTTTTAATTGGTAGATAATTGCTGAAGACTGAATGACTTGTGCAATACTTACTTTTTATTTGGATTCTTGCAACTGATAATACATAATTAGAGTTTTCAAAATTGTGCATTCACAATAGTGTACTGTGAAAGCAAGAACATCGAATAGAAGCGGAGGGAGTAGTAGTAGTATTTATAACTGGTTATTGACCTTGTAGGATGCAAGTATTTTAGATGACTTGTGAATTGTTATAGTATGGTTTTAACTTCGATAGGATTGTTGTGGTTTGTGGTGTGAGATGATGGACACAAATACGATGATAGGTGATGATTTTTGTTGAGGTTGCATAATATTAGGATGATAATGGTGGAAGTAGAAGGGTTTGGAGAGATTTTGGTGGATCTTATTGGTTGTAGACTTGTAAGAGCAACAATGTTAGGATTGTGATGTTGCTCTTTTTGTTTCCCTTGTGTGTATTGAATTGTATTTTGTCAACATTGGTTTATTTTAAAGATATCATTTTATTAAAATAGATTAGTGGTTGAAACCCTTCATGTGAAATGAGAGGTCTTGTATTTGACTTTAATCCATTTTTTCTAGTTGAAAGGTTTGTAAATCATAATTAAGGCCAAGTCAAGTATAACATGACAACACGTCATTGTAAATGCTAAGCTTGAGGGTGATGTCATTGCCAATGTTTAGGTGGAGGGTGCCATGCAGTGTGGTCTTGTGAAAAAGCAACACCTTTTATTTTGAAAGAATAGATATGCATGAAGAATAGGTACTTATGTATATGTTATATCATTTGATATGTGCCCGTGAGTGTCGTCGTTTTACTGGGGGCTTTTAGTGGGTGTCTTGTGTAGCTAAGTGCGAGTCCACAGTTTCTAGAGTGACCGATGATGTTATTTTATAGAGTGACCGATGATGTTATTGTCCTTTCATATATTCCTCTCAAGTAGTTGTATTATTCTATACAAATTATACTTTACAGTCATTTTTATTGGGAAATCTGGATGGTACTTTCACTGTGGTTTGCTCTAATGAAAAGCTAATATATTGGTGAACAATGTAGAAGACACTAGCGCTTTGTTTGGAAAGCAAAGAAGGAAGCAAAGTAAAGGAAGGAGAGGGAAAGAGAAGGAAGGGGAGGGAAGAGAAAGGGAGGGGAAAGGTGAGAATTGTATTCCCTCCAATTCCAAGTTTGGAGGATTATGCTTATTAAAGAGAGAGGGAGGATCCCTCCCTCCCCTTCCCCCAATCCTTTATCCAAACAAGAGAAATTGTCCTCTTTCTTTTCTCTTCCTTTTCCATTTCCTTCTGTCCAAACAAACTGTAAACTTCCAGGAATTGTTGGTGTAGAAAATGTAGGACAAATGCATCTGAGTTAAGAACCAAATGTGTATATCTTTTTTATTTATGGGTTTCATTGCTGATCTCACATGGTGCTGAGCTTCATTGAACTAGCTGCTTTATTTCTTGTATGATAATCATCTATATTTGACTGGTAACGTTTGAATGGAAGGTATTATTTATTTCACGTCCCTTGTATGACCATGAGTCAAGCAGTTAATGCCGAGATTTTTGATGTTATCAACTCTATCAAACACTAAAACTGGAGCAGTCAATCTTGTGTTTTAAGCACCTAACTGGTTGAAAACTTACTTTCAGTTGCTGTACTTATCACTTTTCAGTACTGTCTTCAACCCATAACTCCTTATGATTTTTTCTAAATAATGGTTGTTTGCATAATGTTATGTTAGGTGCATGATAGCATATGAATTGTTGGATTATGTTAGAATATCTGCAAAAGATAATAAATTGGGTGTACTTTCAAGTTACAACTAAGCAATTGTATCACTTTTTACATTTTGGCATGTTACTCTTTCTTTATTTATAGGAAGCATGCACTTGTTGACACCTGCTTGTTGATTTGATTTATACGATGTATCCTTGCTGATGCTGATTGAATTGAATTATTTATTGTATGCATGCTGATGGATGAGGTATAAGGAGAAACTTTTTTGCCGACTTTTTTTGACTTTATCAACTTTTCTACAATCTTTCTGTAATATACTAGATCATAGATTGTAGAATGATTACTATTCTATTGGCAGGTCCACAATGTGTTCTTTCCTGTGCAAAAGAGAGGCGAGGGCTGCCTAGGCTAGGTTATTGCTGTTGTCTTGCTATGGATGGTGTTAAAGTTCTTGCATCCGGCTTTGGGCAAGAGGAAAAGGTAATTATACGGGATTTTGTTTAGTGTTTTTTGTTGTACTCAGAAAATTAGCTTCTTATTAAACAATCAAAGCCTTAATCCCATAAGTGGGGTCGGCTAAATGAACCAAAAGTGATTATTCCGTATAGTCATCCACAAAAATCTTCCTCCATCCCTAACGATCAAATACCTCATTCTCACGTAAATTCATATGCTTCATATCCTTCCTAACTCCTTCCAACTATGTCATATTCGGTCACCCTCTACCTCGTTTAATCTCTCTATGATCCCACTCTTTCATTCTTCATTTCGGTACACCTAGGGGTCTTCGTCTTATATGCCCGAACCAACACAGACGATTTTCCCTTAGTTTAAGGTGGATGTGCGGGAACACTCTAAGAGATAGAATCAGAACTGAAGTTATTTGCAAGAAAGTAGGTGTGGCAGGCATTGCAGACAAACTAAGGGAAAATCGCCTACGTTGGTTTGGGCATGTAAGACGGAGACCTGAGGGTGCACTGGTACGAAAAGTGGATGAGTGGAGGGGTTAAACGAGGGAGAGGTAGATCGAAAATGACTTGGTTGGAATGAGTTAGGAAGTATATGAAGTATATTGATTTGCATGAGGATGAGACATTAGATCGTAAGGGATGGAGGAGGAAGATTTTTGTCAATGACTACACGGGATAATCACTTTTGGTTCATGTAGCCGACATCACTTATGGGATTAAGGCTTTAATTGATTGATTGTGTGCAATGCCTGCGACACCCACTTTCTTGCGAATAACTTCATTTATGATTCTATCTGTTAGAAAATTAGCTTAGATTAGGGAAATTAAATATAGATGATTCAGTATAGGTTCTACCTTGACAGTAAGTCTAGTAAGTCTTTGATAAGGCCTACCATGCTTACACAACTATAAATAAGATTGGTGAAGCGAATCTTGTGTGGTTATCAAAGTTTGATCAAGATCTTTAATTTTAACTATGAGAAGTGCTAGGGGCCAAGACTCTAGGGTGCAGTTGAAATTTTGAATTTTGGGAATGCTTTCTAAAGCATTTAAACAAGCTAATACTCCTTATGTTTCCTTTTTGTTTTCTTGTTTGTAATCTTGCAACTATTCAATTTGGAGAATCTTCTAAAACATAGTCATGTGGGGTTTTGTTTGATTTGTCTCAATGTGTGCGGTATATATATCAAATATTTAATAATTTCTACCAATATGTAATTAGAGATACTATTGGTCTAAGATGTACAATGGCAAACAAGTACTGTCAAAGCAGGAAGCCAGGAACATAAAAAAGAAACAAAGGGAGTAACTAATACTATACTAGCCTTGTATGACAGCTAAAACAGTTCTAAGTGTTCATTAATTCAAAATGGTAATATCCAATGCCTCTAAGTGGTTATTCAAGAAACATTCTTTTGCTAATGAAGAAACTTTAAAGCCTCAAGATTAAGGTAGTCCTTTTCAGCTATAATCAACATGTCTACTCATTAAAAATATCTAGTTGCTTGTTGTTATGGACCAGATTTTGCACAATCACACTCACACTAATTTATACAAATTTAAGGCAAAAGCTTGAGTATTGATTAATTAGAGTTTGAATTACAGATTCTAGGAGATAAATATAGCTTTAGGCTATAACTCTCATGGTAGCTTGAGGCTACCAATCTCACATCAAGTCACTCAATTTCGGGATGGTTGCTACTACTTCACAAAATGCCTTGTATACTCTAGCTACTCTCAAGCAATTACAATGCCCTAATATTAATTAAAGTTGTCTTCTAGCAAAAAGCATAACATGGCTATGGCATCAAAGTATATCAGTCAACAGCTTTGTCTTCTTTCCCTATTTGGCTTGCTACCCAAAAGCTACTGCTCCTCATGTCCCTCCCCTTTCTGATCTTGCTGGTTGACTTTAGTCACTCCTCCTTTACCGTTGAGATTGTTGTTGCCCTTGGGCCTGCATTGGTAGACCCGAATAGGTGTTTGGGCCTTTCTTGAGTGTTGGACCAAGTGAATAAGTGGATCCATAACACTTGTCTCACTGTCATGAATTGGCAGGGGAGGAGGGAGATTGGCTTGCATCATGATTTGCTCTATATGTGACATTCCATGTTTATATTGTTAGATGTTTGTCTTCTATTTTGAATTTTGTCATATGTATTTCTGTCACCTTTTTTTTTTTAGTAACAGCTATGTGTTAGTTTTTAACTTTTTATTATGTTGACTACTAATTGGAAGGAGCTGGCTTCATTATTTTTGACTTTGCTTGGGAATTTACATTTTGATCTCTTCCTGAGATGCTTTGGCTTATCTTGATAATAATTATTCATGTGCCTTTGGTTATTTATATGTTCTTTTGGGTTTGATACCTCATTTTAGTTAACATTTTGCAGGAAAGAATAGGAAAGCTAGTGACTGCTATGAGTGGGAGCTTTACTTCTAAGACTTCCTTGGATGTTAACTTTATTATCGTGAAGAATGTGATGGCTGGAAAGTACAAGGTTTTTTTTAAATTTTTTTTTTTTTTTTTTAATGATTTATTTTCTCCCCTCCCCCCCCCCCCTGTCACCCCCCCTATTTTTTTTTTTTTGAAACTTTTGGTTCTTCAAGATGCATATTTGTTGATTATTCTAATTGTCTTCTCATATGAACTGTTTATCTTGTTATTTGAAAAACTCAGATGTAGTTTTGTCTATGTCGGCGATCTCAGATGTGCTTTCTGTCTTTATTATTGCTTTTTAATTCTCTTTATATGTCTCATTCTGCATGACTTCATGTTTTGGCAGTGGGCTGCGAGTAAAGAGAAGAATATAGTCACTATTAATTGGTTGAACCAATGCTGGGTTGAACACCGTGTCGTTCCCCTAGAACCATACAGAGTCCCACCCTTCTCAGGATTGATCATCTGTGTCACTAGAATTCCTGGAGGTTAGTTTTGTATGAATATGCTGATGTTGTCTCTATTTTTTTTAACTAAATTTGCTGGCAATTTATTAACAATCTTTCCAGATGAGCGGAAGGAGATGGAGAAGCTTATCATACAAAATGGGGGAAAGTATTCTGCTGAACTGACCAAGCTCTGCACACATCTAATTTGTGAAATATCCTTAATTTTACTAGACAGCTCATTCTAATTCATTTTCATATGTTTATGTAGATTATCTTTCACTATGCTAGAAAAGTTCCTCTATCCTTTTCTTTGGCAAGTATACCGGTGAATCTGTTACGTGAAACTTATATTGTCTCATCATCACCAATGTTAGTTTCACACTGTGTTCCTTGGAAAATGATTTCTTCTGCTTAATTTCATATTTAAGTAGTTAATACAGTTTTCTTCACTTTTAGTTTTTTCCTTATTTGGTGGCAGTCACAAGTATGCTTGTATTCCTATTTTTTATTTTATATATCTCTTTCACTATATTGATGTTACCGTATTGAATTATAATTCCCCCATTTTGTAACTCGTTGTAAAGCAAATATTTATTAACCCCTTTTGTTCTTTGTATGGGAATTTCTCATGCTTGTATTCCTGTTTTTGATTTTATGTATCTCTTTCACAATATTGATGTTACAGTATTGAATTATAATTCCCCCATTTTGTAACTCATTGTAAAGCAAATATTTATTAACCCCTTTTGTTCTTTGTATGGGAATTTCTCATGCTTCTGTTCCTTGGCTTACCTTCTGCTCATAAGATGCTTCTTGTAGATGTCACTTGTATATTTCGTCAATTAGAAATTTTGCGCCTAGCCTTTTGTCCACAGACTGCGGATTTTGTTATTTTTTCCCTTAACCATGCTCAAGTTCCCGAAGGTGACAAATTCAAAGTTGCAAAGAGATGGGGGAGTGTCTGTATTGTTGTTCGAAAATGGTTTGATCAGTCGATTGCTAGAAGAAGTATGCTTCACTGTTCTGGGTTTGTTATGTACATGTATTGTTTATTCTAGGACATAGGTAATGCCCAACTATGAATGCTTACCTTGGCACTATTCTTTGTTGTATCAGTATGTCTCGATGAAGAAGCCTATTCAGTTCAGAGCCCTTCCATCTCTTCAGCTTCTGCCTTGAGGAAAAAACTAATATCTAAGTCCTGTCAGGACAAGTGTACAATCAAGTCACAATCTATTTTGTCATCAGTAGCCACAGATTCATCTTTGCAAGCTGCTCCATCTGTGTGGACTACAGATTCTGATTTGGATGTTGCTCAATCTCAAAATCTTTCTTCTGGTTGTCAGAATGTCTCTTTCATTTCCAAGGATGAGGAAACTGAACGACATGATCTTCCTGGTGATGCCAAGGAGCTGGATTGCTGTATTGCTGATGATTCAGAATCTGATGATGGCTTATACCTATCGGATTGCAAAATTTGTTTAGTTGGTTTTAGTGCTTCTGATGTGAGAAAACTAGTTAGTATTGTGCGTAAAGGCGGGGGCTCTCGATACATGTCATGCAGTGAGAGATTGACACATATAGTTGTTGGAGAGCCATCAGATGCGTAAGTCCTCTTTCACTTTCTTTTTTTGGTGCTGAAGAAAATGCTATGTTTCCCAATATTTTTTTTGTTATGCTGGAAATAGTCCCTTTGCTTTTCCAAGTGTAAAAATTGGTCATATCATCATTCAAGAACCCCTCTTTGTGGGATCTTTACTGGCTAGTTTTTTGTTCAGTTGTCAGCTAGTGATTGAGTCCCATACTTGCTAGCAAGTTGCATGTTCAAGTTTCAGCCCCAGAGTAGAACAGCTTCTGGTTGATCTCATGCTTTATACTTCTCTTATATTTATGATTTGCTAAATCAACTTCTTTTTTGATATGTTGCACTTATGTTTTATCTCTATAAATTCTTAGATGGATATTACCTTTTACATCTTGCATTGTTTACCAGTGAAAAGAGGGACTTAAGAGGCTTGGCGGCTCATGGTGTTATACGTGTTGTTAAACGGAACTGGCTTGAAGATTGCGATCGTGAAAGGAAAGAGGTTCCTGTAATTCAGAAGCACATTGCTTATGATTTACTTCATTGCAAAGGTCTCTTTCATTGTCTATCAATGACTCTTCTTTTTGTTTGTTGAATTTTATCTATCTGTTCTAGTTGCTTGACATTGCTTTGTTTCTGTGTATTCTAATTTCAAATGGTTTGGAATAACTTGGTCAATGGTATTAAACTTTTTCTGTCCTCAACACTTGTGCTATGAAGATTCGATGACCTTGTCAAGTAAAGCACCAGTTCCTGGTGTGAGCAGTGGTAAACAAGGGGAAGGCTTAAGCATGCTTTTCAGCCCACCATCTGCTCCAAGTTCGGGAGCTGTAGGCTCAATTACTGATATCTCACTCGAGAAAAGTGGAGAAGACATCTTTGATATCAACCTGAACAATAGCCGCTCTACTGAGAGAAGTCAGAGAACAAAGACTTCTCCACGGAGTGCAAAGGCTTCTGCTTCAAATGACAAAGACACAAGTCAAATAGATAAATTACACAATGGAAAGTCTATACACGTATTCATCGGGAAGCGTTTTGGTTTTTCACTTTCTTTCCCTGATGATCAGGTTAGTTTTTTTCTGATTCTTTTTTCTGCTAGGCAATCAGTTTGGTGTTTGTGAAGCATTTGACTTTATGTTCTTTTTGCAAAATATGAACTGCAGGACAAATATGATTATATCGTTTGCAATAACTGAATTTTCCCATCTTACTTTTCTGGTGCATGTGTCTTTTGCATCATATTCCTTTCTCTCACCAAATATCAACATGATTATTTAATGTCTCCTTTCCATCATCTTAGGCATCCATGCTGTATACTTGTATGACTAAGCTAATTTTTCACGCTTCTTAATAACTAACAACAATGTCAACCTATTTCAGTTTCTGGTAAGGATAGGGCAGTAGATTATGATTTCTTGTGTTACATGAAAGGTCTAATTTCTTGTCAGTTGTCACTAAATGTTTAGTTGGCTTTTATTTGGATATAACTAACTTTATGTTTAAGTAATATTAAGGCACTATTTTGTCTATTAATGGGATAAATGAATGAAATAGTAGATAATTTGGTTCTAGGAGTTACCTTAAAAATATTGTCAGGGAGCTTTTCTTGCAGTTTTGCATGGCAATTATGCTAGCACCATCTCTTTTTCTTAACTACAAGTCATTTGAGTATATTTTGATCCATGTTGTAACTTACTTAATGGATCATCTATTGTTCTTTTGCCACAATGCTATCCCTTTATCAGCACATTTGCCTCATTTGACCTTCCAAAATTTTGTGGTCAAACTGTCAGAGTGATTTAGCCAAATGTACTAAAATGATGCCATAATTTTTTTTTCCCATAATACTTGTGCCACAGGTTTTGTGATTTATGTATACACGTTGATTTTATATGTACTAACATATGTGTTTTTTATTTTTTAATTCTTTTTTTTTTTTTTTTAAAAAAAAATTTCAATTTACCCCTTTAGCAAGCTAGCTTCTTGTTTCTCTGAAAGAGCTATTGCAGGCTTTGCTCAATTCAACATTATTTAACCAGGCTAGGGTTCAGGTTCAAGCTCAACTCGATCTACAAAAGTCAGCTTGAAGCCTTGAACTTGGCTTCACTGCTACATTTTAGATTCTGGTTTGAGTTTGAAGCTTGACTAAAGAACAATTTGAGCCAGGCTGAAACTTTGAGCATAGTCTGTAGGATTGGTTTTCTGATTTTGAAAATGGGAATCACAATCTTCAATTATGATTTGATAAAATGAAATTCTGCTAATTAGAGGTAGTTGATAGGGAAGAGAAATAAAACAAAGGGTTTATGTTATGCCTACTTTAAATGGAGGATTTATTAGATATTATTTATCACGTAATTATGTTTGCCACGCTCGCGAGACTATGAGCCATATACAATTTAATTTGAGTTTGGCTTGTTAAATATTGAAACTCTAATTTTGAGCTAGAATTCAATTTGCTAACAAGCAAATTGAGCCGGAACCATTTTTTTTTATGAGCCAATGCTGAATTTTTAAACAACAACAATAGTGTCTGTCCGTCCCTAGTCATATCCCTCACCTTTCCCTTTCTTTTCATGACTGCAAGTTGGGCATGTGTAAGGAGAGTTGAGGGGGGGGGGGGGAGACCATTTTCAAGACAAGGAATATGAGAATGTTTGGGTCTTAGAATGTGTGCATATGGACACTGTGGTGGCAAACTGGCAATTATATCATGGTTTTAAACTCCATGCATATATAATAGCTGTCAGCTATCTCCCAAAATGATATAGTTATGAGTACATGATATTTCAATAACATTAGTGGCTTAAAGTTTGATGGAGATCCAGGATTTTTAAAGAAGTTTGGTCAATGTTGTATACAGGTGCAACTCGTGCAATGCTTTTTTCCATGACGATGCACTTGGTTTTGTTGTTGTTGTTTAAAGTACTTTATTTGTACAGTATCTTAGCATCTACCTTTTCAAATAGCTCTGTTCAAATTTTGTTGAGTATTCTAACAGACTTGAATTTGTTTTGTGGGTGCTTATATATGGGGAATGGTTTAGAGAGGTGAGGTTGTTCAATGGATAAATCAAGGTGGAGGTGAGGTAGTAGATGATCAGACCATAATTGATGTGGACTTCACCATTGAATGCCATGGTGTGCTTGACAGACCAACCAACACTTTGCAAACTACTTATGTGTCAAGTCACTGGATTCGGTCTTGCCTAAAGGTATGTATACCTTTTGAGGTTTATTCAACTGGTCATATAGAATACTACTCCATTGGGTTGCTTCTAGTATTTTTTATGTTGATGCATGAAATTATGGAATGAAGCTTTTGATGTGAATGATTTCTTCATGATCTGGTCATTTCCCGATTCTTATCAATGCTGCTGAAATTACTATTGAACTGTAATTAAATTTGACTTTGCTCTGGAGGGAATGATGCTTTACTTGTACAAACAGTTGGCCCAGCATCTTTTTGCTTCTATTTCAATATACCCAAAACTGCTAAGTCCATTATAATTCACGTCTGAAAAGATGCATTTTGGCCCAAAGGTGACAATCTTTTCAGATGTGAATTATAATGGACTAAACTGATGTCCCACTTAGCTGCACTTGGTATCTTACTTGTTACTCCCAAGTGTTTGACAATATATGCCAATTGATTCTCTTCTCAAAAGAATATATTGTTTTTGTATGTCCCTTCCTAAAAAAGAGGAGGGGGTGGTGGTAATAGCACAGTTGTTTATATGTACTATAGGTCATCAAGTTGTCATTAAGAGAAGAAACCACAGCACTTGCTCCGCTTTTTGTGACTGCATTTTGCTGCTTATCTGGAAGACACTTTGCTGTTTGAGTAATATAATATCATTCGCAATAATCTCTTTCGACTTTTATTTTGTTCTAGCTAACTAGAACATGGGTAGACACCATGTTCATTAGACTTCCGACACTATTGATTAGAGAATACTGAAGAATTTAATGACCTTTGCTCTCAGTCAGTATGTCATCCTATTGAAAAAATTAACAGAGTAATTTTGCATTATAGGATGGACGTTTGCTAGATGCTGATAGTCACATACTTTTTTCTCCACTTCCCTGTCGGGTTCCCTTGCCTGGTTTTGAGGGCTTACGGTTCTGTGTATCGCAATATCCGGAGAAAGAGCGAATGCTTTTGCGCAATTTGTGTTTTGTCCTTGGTGCTAAGTTCGCGGAGAAACTTACAAGGAAGGTTACTCATCTGTTATGCAAATTTGCCAATGGCCCCAAATATGAAGCTGCCGGCAAGTGGGGAGTACGTCCAGTTAGATGCGAGTGGCTTTATGAGTGTGTCAGGATGGTAAGACTTCCAGGTACATTCAAATTTTAATGCTAATAATCTTATTTCTGTATCCTTCTTGTAAACAATTTGGACTTGCTATTTTATGCAGAATGACATTGTTTCGCTAGATAATTTCCATCCAGAAGAAGTTCCTCAACATCCTGAGGCAGGGGTTTGCACTGTGACACAGTATCCTACTCAAGCTGCTACATTTATCTCTATGGATAATTCGTCACAGTTCTCAAGTCAGTCCCAGGATTTGAGAAAGGAAAATACCATACATTCTAGTAAAAGGCTAAGGTTATCGGAATCAAAGCGCATTTCTGATCAGGATGATAAAACGCATATAAATTCTGCAGCTGTGGAGATTCGTAGCAATGCTAAAGAAAATGGTCAAAGCGTTCCTGATGTTGCTGCTGCTATAGAGGACTTATTGGAGCAAACAAGCAAGGTACAATCTGCTCTGTTAAGTTGCTATGATCATTTATAGTGTTTCGTTGAATCATGGTTGTGGGTGTGGAGATATCTTAATTAGTCAGTTCAAGTGCATGCATGTTTTTGAAATCGGTTATTCTACACCTAGTGTATGAATGATGAACTGTATGCATCCTTTCTGGCCATTCAATTTGCATTTTGTTAATGTTTATTATGTAATCAATTGCTGGCTAAACCTTTTCTTTTGGATGTCAGATTCAGGATCTAAAGTCACCAGTTAGTAGAGAGTGTGAAACAAATGTATCCTTGTTTTTTGCTATCTTCGTTTTCTATTCTTGCTAACTCTGTCATTTTTGTTCTTCCTTAATGATGAAATAGATTTATTCTTCTGACTGTTCAATTCTCGTTAGAGATCATTCAGGTTCTCACTCTGCGTTTGGGCCTTCAAGACATTGGTTAAGCAGGTAACCTTCTCTACCTTTGTCCATATCTCTACCTAAAAAGTTTGTAGATGTTATGGGTATCTTTGTTTCTATGGGTAGATGTTATGGGTAACCTTCTCTACCCAACTGCGCACATGGGTCATTGGGTTGGGATGTGATTTGATTGAAATTATTCCATAATTTGTTTTGTTTGAGTTCGTGATTCACATTCTGCATCATGTTTTGGCTTACCTGATTTATTTTGGTTGTAATCTTTTAGTCTAGGGAAGGACCTTCACGATGCTTCTCGAGATCTTAACACAGGCAATAATGATGGATTTACTGAAACACAAGATTCTCAGGTCTTTGTTCTGATAAAATCTCCTTTTCGCTGTTTATTTCTTCAACAATCCAATCCATGGGAAGATTTACATTCTATGACTTCTTGTAGAGGATCAATTGAAATCCTTTTCCATTATCTGAGATGTTGCTAACTTAAAGTCATAATTGCAGTTGGTTGGTTATGAAGAAGATCTAAGTGGCAGACAATTGTTGTTGGACAAAGCTCGAACCATAAGTAGTAGCATGACTTGAATATCTCTACTGACTGAATGAGAAGGAATGGAGCAGGGCTATGTTCTGGTAGGGAATGCTTAAGATGTCACTGAAATCATGGCCTTGCAGGGGGAAACTTAAATAGGTTTCCCTTCTGCAGAATTGAATTTCAGATTGTCTGACACTCTGACTTGATAAAATCATTACATTGGAATGGAGCATTTGTGTCCAGTGATCATCATTTTCGACAGTTGGTTAAGCCTTTTCAAGGGTCTGGTGAGTTACAGAGAAGTGCAGCAGATAACAGCAGCTGGACATCATTTTGTTTCTCCCGGATATGACTTGCATTCTTGGAAGCTGGAATCAAAAGCTGCTGATTCACATGTTAGTGAACGGTTATTACTGATACAGGCTGCTATAAATATGCATTGTGATTCGGTTTCTGAAATGCATTTGCTTGTTGCCCGGAAATTCCAATCTTTCTCAAGCATTGCTTATTTGTACATGGGATTCTGTATATGCTGTGGCTAGGGTTGTTTGTAAATACTCCGTAATAACTGTATATTAATATAATAACTGTACACTAGTGTAATGTGTAGCCTTTATGCTGTATGAAGGAGGTTGCATTTTGGAGTAGTGCCAGACGATTGCATGAGCTTTGTGTTGCGTTTTGTTCCTTGACCTTCGTTTCCCTTAAATATTGTATTTGCTTGGTAATCTTTGTACAAATTATACAAAAAATAGTTCATCTGAGCCACCACAAGGGACTAATTATTTGATGACTTTATTAAGAGCTAGGCACGAGCTAGTCTTGTTCATGCCTAGCTATGACTTGACTCTTGATCTTAAACATTTTAATGTTCATCCAAGCATATTAAAAATTTGATTTTCCATATTACTCCCTCCGTCCTACAATACTTGGGACGTTGGGGTAGACATGTAGTTTAAGAAAATTATAAGTGGGTCCATTTAAAACATTTGTTTATTATATAAAAGATTTTCTTTTATATTTTTATATTGTAAGAAAACAAAAAGTGGGGGAGGTGGGGGTAGTGAGGAGAGAGAAAATGTAGGATTTAATTGGGTTTTAGGGTAAGTGGTCCCAAAGAGAGTATAGGAATTTTTTTTTTTAGTGGTCCCATTCCATATTAGTAATGTGTCAAGTATTTTGGGGTGGACGAAAATGAAAACTGTGTCAAGTATTATGGGACGAAGGGAGTACAAAATACAAAGTACAAAGTAGTACTTGTTTCGATGGACACATACCACGCTTGACTCCTATTTGGTTCATACAAATTGATAATTATTTATTTATTATTTTGATCGACGTATAGCACGCATGACTCCTATTTAGAAGGTACTTTATCTATATGTAGAAAATACAAAGTATGGTTTGCTAAGGTTAATGGTGGGTGTATGCATAGTGTTCATTGTGCATTTGTGCATTTAAACATCAAGCCTAACTTCAAATAACATGAAGACTAACTTCAATGAACATACTCTAAAACATCATCTTAGTTATAGCTTTTATGTTCATTATAGTATATATTCATTGGAGACTTAGAATTAGTCTTCATGTTCTTTGAAGTTAGGCTTGATGTTCAACGTATATACACATGCCTCCACTATCCAATTGTTGGGCTAACAAATTTCGTAGGAAATGTTGCCTCCTAAATATAACCAAATAATCCTTAGAGTGAACCCCATGATTGCCCACAACCATTGTGGTTATCACTTATTTTATTAATTTCTTTATCTTCCACCTCACCTATAAAGGCTATAACCACTCTTATACCCATTTTATAACCAATGTATCCCAATGGTTGACCACACAATATCTCTCTTAAATCCTATCGTAGATAACTAATACACTTGCCACATCACCAATAATAAATGAGGAAAGACATCAAAAGCAAGTTGACACTATTATTTTATTCAATGACCAAGCCTTCATAACTGGTTGTTTGTGCAATCAAGTTATTGCTTTTTTTCCCATCAATTTCTCTCTCTATATTTTTATTGTTTTTTCACAAATTTTATCCTAATAACCAACCCAAAAGGTTATTGACTAGAGATGCTAGAGCAAAGCCAATGATTGCCTAAGCTAACGGTGGTCATCAAATATTTAATACATATCTCTCTTTTCCTCCTCATTCATGCTGAATTTTTAAACCCATTTATGCCCATATACTCTCATTAATTGCCGTGTTCATAAATATTTTCTTTCTTATACTTGGTACTCTTATACACATAAAACACTAAAAGAATATAAAAAACACTATCAGCCAATTATAATAAGACAAGTGGCGCACCTTAATCTTGCCCACCTTTTGCCAAAGGTCATAGCTATGACATTCTTTTTCCTAAAATGCTGATTTTTTTTTTTTAAAAAAAAATTAATATTATTTCTTCTTCTCTCTCCTCATGCCCACTACAAAAGGGCAACCAATGTGTGTGCTCTTATAAGGGTATAGTTGAATACCATATATTGGATGGAGATGATAATTGTGGTAAAAAAAGACTTTGATTAAAATATAAACACCTAGCTCTAGTCACACCTATCCAAATTCAAATTTAGCGAACTAATTGTTTGAATTATTTATTCATGTGATTATATTTAATTTTCCCACTTCATTATTGTTCTCTACATTTTCTGATGCACCAACTTTTAAATTTTTTTTTTAAAAAAAAAAAAGATTATTTCATTTTATCTCTCGTAACGCCTACTTTAAATGGGCCACCAATGGAGTTGCTCTAACGAGTGATTCTCAATTGCAACTAAGTCTTGAAAGACTCTAGTAGGAGCATTATCTTAATATCTATACTAATATATTAAAAGGTGTTCCTAAGAACGTTTATGTGCCACGTAGACCCCTTCGTTACGCCACATCATCCACTCTACTCCTTATTACGCCACGTCACCCACTGAACGCCACGTGGCTCTTCCTTCCATATGTTTCTCATTGCATGTCATGCACTTATATTTTAAAAAAAATGTTCTCCACAAGATTTGAACACGCAATCTCTAACTCTAAATGTGAACATCTTACCACCAAGATATGTGATATTTTATGTTACCTTATGATACAAAATATTAATATGTATAACAAATTTACTAACAAGAAAAATGTAATGACCCGGGACATCGTCCGGGCCCAAATACTAGTTGATTATTTAAAAAAAGGCAAGGGAACACTTGTTTAATTGTTAGTTATTTTTTTTATTAGCTCTTTCAAACACTTTACTTTTCCAAGGAACCAAAGTCACTATTCAAAATATTCCTCCATTGATATCCGAGGGATTCTTTGCCCGAGTAATAAATTGCAATTAGAGAATTTCAAAATTCTCACAATTAGAGTCTTTCTAGAGGTTAAAAACTTTCTGCACTTTGATCCTTGCCACCTAACTCTCTCTTTCCCGAAATTGATGCCTAATCACTATCCCATCTTACTTCTACTTTTGCCTATTATCACCTGGCCTCTATCATTTACTACGATCAAATTTTATATACTGATATATAGTTCAATTATCTCAACAAAATTTCATTACAAAATCAAATTTTCTCAAGATGAATATAATAATTTCATGTGGATTATGCTCTTAATTTCTAGATTTACTCCAAAGAACACTTTATTAGAATACTTGCTTCATTATTGTTGTTTTCCAAATATTCAATTTAAATATTAAGGTTATACAATATTTTTTTTTAAAAAAAAGTTGAGTACCATATTTCACTCAATTTTTTTTTTCTTTTGAAAAATTATATGATTTCAACTAGATATGTAGTGCCAAAAATAAAAGTTAAAAAAAAAAAAAAACCCTTAGATATGAAAGATGAATTTGAAATTTATCTCTTAGATTTCATCCCTTAAATTAAAATATAAAATTTATTCAGCTTAGGTCCTTATAAACAAAGTTTTTTTTTTTTTTTTTTTTTTTTTTTTTTTTTTTTTTTTTTTTTTTTTTTTTTTACAACGGTCTAAAAAGTAGGCTAGCTCCCAACTGACTCGAGGCTACAATGAGAATATCTAACTCTCTTAATTAAACTAATACAAGAACTAAAATAGGCATTGGGGGTACAAACATTATGAACTGCCTGACAATGCAAATAAGGGGGTATAGAAAATCCATCGCCAGTACTGGCCATTAGGTGTTCCAAACTTGTTCCCTTACATTTCTTGATCCTGCAAAAACAAAACCTAGAATACCTTTTACTTTTCTTGTTCTTTACCCTTGACCTAATTGGCCTTCCATGCTTCATCGACGTGGCAGAGAACGTGAAGGTAGAGAATGGTAGAAAGGACTGTACTTGGTCAGGTTCAAAAATCATGGGGTCTTCATTATTATTAGAACCTACGGATTCCACATCAGCGACATCAATATTAGTTAAAACTCTCGCAAGTATCTCACTCCCATCCTCAATACTTGAACCCTCATTGCTGCTAGAAGTTAGGTCAGTAGCTATATGATCATCTAACTTCTCAACAACAGCGGTGTTGGGCTTGGAAAGTCCAACAAAATGGCTGACCATGTCAGTGTCCCGAGATCGTGAGGCCTTTTTCTTTTGGCTCTTCTTGACGCGACCCTTCTTTTCCGGACCCACCGTCCTAATAGACATAGACAAGGTTTTAGGAACTTTGGAGCCCTTTGCCTTGTTAGAATCATGATGCCCATCTTGGATGGTCTTCTCCTTCGCTCGTACAGTCATCCATGTAATAGCAGAATGTTTGAAGAAACTCAAGGTTTTCCCTTGATTGAGATCCGAATAAGACAAAACGAAAATCTTAAGGGACTGATTCTGTTGAAGAACATATGGATTTTCCTCGATCCTTTGTCCTTAACTTAGACTAGAATCTTGGTTGTTTAGGGAACTGGTATGTAGCATCATCGTTTCCCTTTTCCAAAGGGGTAAAACCATTATCAGTAGGGATAATGCTCTATACCATCATCTCACTAGCAGCCTCCATGGTTGGTAAGTTCGTAACAACACTATGAACATCGCTTAGGTAACCCGTTAGATTCTAAATTGACAGCAGACTCACCGATCTTTCCCTTTTTGTTGAAGGTTTCGTGTGACAGGTTGGAGTCCTCGGTGCCCCTCTTGCCCTTAAGCTTGCTAGCTTTGATTCTTAAACCCTCCACCTTCTCCATTCACGACGGATGTCTTGGTTGATAGGCTCAGCCTTGGCTGCTTTGCCAAGGTCTTCATAAGCCTCTTCAATTTGGTTTAGCTTGATTTCGGCTAATGAAGGGCTTTAGTGTTGTTACCATCAAGCATGATGATTATTGAGCAAAGCTCCTTAGTTTGTTCATAATCTCGAACCTTTAGGGACAAGCTGCAAGATTTAACTCAAGGGATATGGCAAGATTCCATAGAAAGACATAATCATCTTCATTTCTTGGCAATCCAAAACACATGCAAAAAATTTCTATCCTCTGTCATACTTAGCTCTAGCAAGAACGACTTCACCTTACTTGAAGTGAATATTGCCCTCCTCCTTCAAGATCTTTGCTTGATTGAGGATATTCCGGGGGCAATTATTTGTAGCAAAGTTGACAATGTTTCGTTGTAATCATCGTTCAAGTGAGTATGAATAAGGGTGCTAAGTAAATTTTGACAGTCCATAACAATTTTTTTTAAAAATATAAGGGGGATCGAACAACAAAATCACAAGAAAACACATACTACAGCAAGGATCAATACAAAAGGCGGTGAGCAGGTGCCCACTAAGTCTTAGCCGCAAACCACAACTAAAAACACAGTAAGCTGCCGCAAGAGGTGAGTGGGAGGCAGCTACGGTCAAGCGATGACCGGCGGAGTGCTACCACCAAAACAGAAACTTCTAGCGAAGGTTCAGTTGTTGATCGAACCAAGAGATCGGACTACGAGATCGCGGAGCCTCACTAGCGAAAAAAACCTTTCTCGAACTTCGAGGACGAAGACCTCCTGCGATCAGGGCCCCAGCAAAGGACTCACCGACGATTGAGAAGGAAGGCCGCCTACTTTGATCGCTTGCGGCCCACCTAAAAAAGCAAGGGGAAGGTTGGTGTTGTAAACTAGGGGCTTGAAAACTGGTTTTTGGGTTTTTGATTTTACTCGCGCGTGGGGCGCATTCCACCCACGGCACAACTATTAGCCGTTTAGGTGAATGACGTTTTAATCCCTATGAGACATACAATACATTTTACGGCTCACCATTAGTCGTTTGGAATGCCTCAAGTTTAAGAATCATATTTAACGAGCTCAAGTTTACAGTACGATTCTTAAACTTTGGAATTAGGGTGTTTAGAAAGTCTAAACCCATTTTAATTGGGTACAATCCCAAATTCCCAATCAATGTAGGACTTAGACCTGGCAAACGGGTTGTTCGGGTTGGGTTTGGGTCAGGTCAATTTCGGGTTAGCAAAATATTCGGGTCGGGTAGGGTCAATTTGGGTTTCGGGTCAACACTTTGGGTTAAGTTTGGGTCGGGTCAGTTTGGGTTGAGTCATTTCGGGTCGGGTCAGTTCGGATCGGGTCAATTTTTAGGACCAATTTTGGGGTCAGTTTCGGGTCGGGTCAATTTCGTGTCGATTCAATTCAGGTCGGGTCAGTTCGGGTCGGGTCAAGTTTGGGTCGGGTCACCAAAATAAATTCACTTAAAAAAATAGTTGGAAAAATAAAGTAAAATCGTTAAGAAAATGAAAAATCGTGAGCATTTATTACTTAGGAAAGAAAGAAGCCCTAAAATAAGTAATTCACCATTTCATCTATTCACTTCAGGAATCGGGTCAATTTGGGTCGGGTCGATTCGGGTTTAAATCGGGTTTTGGGTCAATTTCGGGCATCAGCTCATGTTCGGGTCAACTTCATTTCGGATCGGGTCGTTTTCAGGTCAACTTTCGAGTCATAGGTCAGGTTATTCGGATCGGGTCAGGATTGTCAGGTCTAGGACTCATCAAGCGTATGGCTACTGTCCTATACTCCTATCTATGCTTGCTGCCAAATCACATGGTCACCTTCAACCTCTATGCCAAACAAACACTGATAAATCCACACCCAAGAAAATTTTGGAATTTGGATAAAAAAGAATACTTCATCTTGATTTGATTTGATTATAAGATGATAATTTTGAGGTTGAAAATGACACCCTTTTCAAAATTCCGACACCCAATTCGTCCTAAACCTTACCCACACCATCTTCATCCACACTATCTTTCTCTCTCCTCTTACTCCCACCACAATCTTACCAGTCTTTCACTATTTTCAACTTCACAAAATATGAATTTCTGAAATTTACAAAATACCCACAAAAATCTGATTCTTCCCTGATTGTTTGAGCTGATGATCATGCTGTAAGAATCTGAAAATTACGAAAAAAAATCAAACTTTTTTGATGCTTTTTTGTGGGGTTTCTTTGGTTACTGGTAATTTGAAATGAACCACTCTCCAGCAGCAACAAGTACTGCGTCTTCTTTCCAATTTTGCCCTCATGGGTACTTCAAATTCTCCGATTTTAGGCATGCCCAGAAGCTGTTTGTTGGTTCGTATGGATTAGTGTTGCAGAGGAAGGAGCTTCATCGCCTCAAATTTGTGGTTTCTGCTGAGCTCCCAAGGCCTATTACTCTCAATTTTGGTTTGGATTCACAGGTTTTGAGTTAACTAGTAATTTGATGTTTGTTTTCTTTTGTTGATGCAATCGAAATTGATAATTAATTGCCATGAATAGGGTTTCTTTTGTAGTTTTTTATGGTGGTATTGGGAGTTATGAAGGGCAGTGATGTAGACGGGATAGGATCTGAGAGGTGTTGGGTACCACCCTCAAAGTCTTTGATCAACTAAGCTAGTTGGAATTTCAAAATTTTTGTTGTTTTTGCAAAGAGTTGGATGCTTGAATCTTTGCATGTTGGGTTACTTGTAGGTGTGGTGAAATCTTTTAATTTTAGTGCTTTGTTTGTTCATTTTTATATTTTCTGTTCGTATTGGAAATTTTGATGGCAATGAAACAGTGTCTCAAGGCTCAATTACTATTTTCTGTGAATCTTCTATTGCCTTCTTGCTCACCAAGATCCATCATTTATGGTCGATACTGCAATATTGATTTTGCGAATTGGCATTATTTTGACTTGCCTGTGTCTTCCTCGTAGTTTCAATGTTTGTTTATTAGTCTACATATGATGAGATTGATTACTGACATGGGCTTTCTCACAATCATCAACTTTTATTCAATATTGTAGAATTTGTTTAAAATTTAGAGATATTGTGATGCTGAACTAAGCTTTCCCAAATATATTGTTTTCACAGTTAATGCTTGTTGACAAGAGTTTGTGGTTGGTTTGAGTAGCATACTCTCTTTTCTTATTTTGGTATCAAATTGACTAACTGAAGGCAGACAGCTGTTCATTTTTGGGTTCCACAACATCTTAAATGTGTTTCTGTGTGCTGTCTAGTAAATGTATTAGGTCTTATGTCAGCTGGACCAATATGGAATGTTTTATCATATTGGGTGCTGAAGTTACAATTTGTTTGAAGCTCTTTTCCATCATTTTTTTTTTTGTAAATTTCGAAAATGCTTTATTGTGCTTGGCAGACATATCAACCTCATGATGTTAATCAACTGCGTTGGATTGGTCCTGTTCCTGGAGATATTGCAGAGGTGGAGGCTTACTGCAGGATATTTAGGGCTGCAGAAGTTCTACATACTACACTGATGAACATGTTATGTGACCCTCTCACTGGTGTTTGTACTGTGTCGTATGATTTCTCCTCGGAGGTGTTGGAAGATAAGATAGTAACAGTTCTTGGATGGATGATATCTCTTTTGAATAAAGGAAGACAAGATGTTCTTTCTGGCAGGTCATCACTTATGACATCCTTTCGAGTTGAAGAAATAAACACTATGGAGGATAAACTTCCGCCACTTGCAACTTTTAGGAGTGAAATTAAGAGGTGTTGTGAAAGCTTGCATGTTGCTCTGGAGAATTATTTGACACCTGGAGATGATAAAAATCTTGACGTATGGAGAAAACTCCAGCGCCTTAAAAACGTGTGCTATGATTTGGGTTTCCAACGTGGGGAAGAGTCACCCAGTCATATGTTGTTTGCCAATTGGGTTCCAGTATCTATGTCCACTAGTAAAGAAGACATAACGACTACTGATTCTGATGTGGCTTTCTGGAGAGGTGGTCAGGTGACTGAAGAAGGTTTACAGTGGTTATTAGACAAAGGTTTTCGGACCATTGTTGATCTTAGAGCTGAGACTGTGAAAGACAATTTCTATCAAGTTGCAATAGATGAGGCTGTTGGCTCTGGGAAGGTTGAACTGTTTAAGTTGCCAGTTGAGATTGGAACATCACCTTCAATGGAGCAGGTTGAGAAATTTTCATCTTTGGTATCTGATCCCAGCCGGAGACCCCTCTATCTACATAGTAAAGAAGGTGTGTGGAGAACATCTGCTGTGGTTTCAAGATGGAGGCAATATATGGCCCGCTATGAGTTACAGCACGTTTCCAGTAGTCCCATTCCAGTTGATGGAACATTAGCGCGAGGAAGAGATGGAATGTCTTCAACTGATGCACCTTCAAGTGTAAATAAGGAGAAACAGCTGAAGGATGGAAATGCTCTGCTTCCAAATACGACATATTATACAAGTAGCTTCAATGGGGTGCTGCATGGTCAAGATTCTGTAGTTATTGAAAAAAATGTTCAGCAAACCAAGGAAGGTCACATTATTCACAGTGGTGGTGTGTCATTGACTAAAGTGAATTCTAGTATGTTAGAGTCTGGTACAGGCGCAAATATTAACCCATTCAAGTCACAGCTTCCTCCCAACAACGTCTTGTCTAGAAAAGAAATGTCCAGATTTTTTGGTAGCAGAAAGATCTCCCCTTCCACCTTTGTCAAAACACAACAGAGGAGGTCAGTGTTGCTTCCTTCTCCCAGAGAAACATACACTAGTAGCATTGAGAAAATGGAGCAAGTTAGAATGGAGTCCGAGTCGGTGCTGACAGAACCTGAGAATTCAAATGGGTCAACTGGCAGCACAGATTCCTCTTTGCGTGACTTAAATAAAGCCATAGGCAATGATACGACTCTAGCTTACAGAGATGCCTCTAGTGGCACAATTGTTAATGGAGACAGGCCTCGTGTTATAAGAAATGATGTTCTAACTAGTGTGACGAATAAAAATTTGGCCAGGGACACATCTGATGCTAGCAAGTCTGATCAGATGAATAATGGTCATTCTTCTGTTGTTCCAGGAGAAAAGGGTGTTGACGAGAACATGTGTGCTTCGGCAACTGGTGTTGTTAGGATACAGTCAAGAAAGAAAGCTGAAATGTTCCTTGTACGCACTGATGGATTCTCTTGTACAAGAGAAAAGGTGACAGAATCGTCACTTGCATTTACTCACCCAAGTACACAGCAGCAGATGCTTATGTGGAAATCTACACCAAAGACTGTTTTATTACTGAAGAAGCTTGGACCAGAACTTATGGAAGAGGCTAAAGATGTAAAAATTTCTCTCTTTACTTTTTCCTCCCCATGTTCAAACAATTTTTGTGACACTCATTTTACTCCCCATCTTTCTGGCCTCCTTTTTTTTAAATGATAATTTTGTGGGTCTCAGAGACTGAGACAGCTGCCACTACTAGTCTCAACTGGCCAGGGGTAATGCTGTCTACATCTTAACCTCCCTAAACTCTGCTGAAGGTGGGATAAATGCTGTTTACATGGTTTCTTATGCAAATGCTGACCCAAAAATTTACACGATAATGAAAGAATCATAGTTCATACATATGTCAAAAATCTACTTATACAATGGTGCATTGCATTATTGGTGCAACCTTCTCACAACTGCTTAAAACAGGGGGAAGGGATGGCAATAGTGGAAAAAGGAAAATGTTTTCATAAATTATTAGTGGCAAAGATTGATTTGGCTGTAGTAGTGTTCTATTGTTAAGTTTACAGTTGCATTAGATATACTGGGTTTGTTCATCAATGTTGGCATTTCCTTTATGATGAAACCTGTCATTTAAGCTTTGATGACAAACAATTGCACCTATTAATAAGGTTCCATAGCCAATCCCATCCATCTATGTATTCTCCTTTTACTTGATAAGTATCATGTAATATTCAATTGTAGAGGCCAAAAAATGTCACCCACCGAGTTTTCTTGCTTACCTGTGACAAATATTTTGCTTGTAATTGGTTTTGGTGTGTTAGTATATTCAAGGTAGATGCATTTTCTTCTCTTTCATTGACACATTACTATATATTGTTTAGTAACAGACATGCAACAGTGAATTATAACAAACAATGTGTCATGTTTTGTTTTGATCTGTAAGCAACTATATGTCATGCCAACCTCTCAGGGAAATCTTTTCTCTTCTGGCTGTGTAGGTTGCTTATTTCTTGTATTATCAAGAAAAAATGAATGTTCTTGTTGAGCCAGATGTGCATGACATATTTGCAAGAATACCTGGATTTGGTTTTGTTCAAACATTTTATGGTCAAGATACAAGGTAATAATTTTTTCGAAGTCCACTCGAACTCTTCATTTACCTCAAGTATTCATGTTGGAGTCTCGACTCGGACATGGGTAGCAGAGTAGGACTCTTTATAGTAAGTCGCAGGCCTCACAGTGAGGTATTTACCAAATCTTACACAGGTACCAAAATATGTGATTTTAGTACCAAAAAAACTTTGTACAAAAAACAACATATTTTGGTGCCAAAATTGTATTGATCTCACACAGTATGCTTCTAGGAGTTCTCTGAACACTTTAACCCTTCATTTTGAGTCTTTTTCATAGTTATCAAGTCAGAACGCTTTGACATCCACCCCTGTTAGACACAAGTACCCAAATCCTAAATCGGAGCAACATAGAATTTTTTTTTATTTGCATGATGAGTCCTTCAGTTCATGTGGAAAAATTCTAGTTGCAAGCTCTCTGAGCTAGTTTGTTCTTCTATTGCAGCGATCTTCATGAGAAGGTTGATTTTGTTGCATGTCTCGGAGGAGATGGGGTGATTCTCCATGCATCAAATTTATTTAGAGATGCCGTGCCTCCAGTGGTGTCATTTAACCTTGGATCTCTTGGCTTTCTCACCTCCCATAGTGTGCGGTTCCGACCAAGTGCTTTATTAAATGGTTGCTCGTCTCCATTTAACTTATTGGTCATCAACTAATTTCTTCAGTGTAATTTGTGCAGTTTGATGACTATAAACAAGACCTTAGACAAGTTATTCATGGAAATAATACTACAGATGGTGTGTATATAACACTGAGAATGCGACTTCGGTGTGAGGTTTTTCGGAATGGCAAGGCAATGCCTGGTAAAATTTTTGATGTGTTAAATGAGGTCGTGATTGATCGTGGTTCAAATCCTTACCTTTCGAAAATTGAGTGTTATGAGCATGACCGACTTATAACCAAGGTACAGTGCTTGGAATTCCGAAGTTTACTAGTTTCATTATGACCTACCATCATTTGGGTGATTTCTTTGTGTTGAACATTCCTCCTAGATAAATGTCAACCGTCCATAACAAGTGTTTAGGATACTTGCCTGTAGGAAAAATAATGAAAGTTCTTGCTGTCAGTTTAACTTAAACTTGTATGCAGTGAACATTTTCTTTCCAAGTCTTTGACATGATTAAGGAAAAAAATTGTGTTTCTCCTTTAATTCTTCTTGCAAATTATTTCCAAATTGATATATTGTGCTGCAGGTCCAAGGTGATGGAATCATTGTGGCGACACCTACTGGAAGCACAGCGTATTCAACAGCTGCAGGAGGTTCCATGGTGAGCTTACTTTTCTGAAATTGGTTTCAAAAAAACTTTATAATCCATTCTACTGTCATCTATTTGTGGATTCTGCTTTATGAATTATCTTTCACGTCTAAATAGATGATACTCATGAAAGCATTGCAATGATATACTTCAACGCAATATCGACTTTTTCCCAAGGCTTATACAGAGGCCCCACCTTGTGTGTGTTTTGAGTGTTGGTGGGTGGGTGGGGTGGGGGCGATGTTCATAGTTACCCTTATGGTAACAGAGTAGCTATTTCTGTTAGACCTTTGATCTAAGACATGGCTGTCAGCTATTTCCTCTGTTTTGTGTGTTGGTGGGTGTGTGTGGGGGGGGGGGGGGGGAACGTTCATAGTTACCCTTATGGTAACAGAGTAGCTATTTCCGTTAGACCCTTTATCTAATACATGGCTGTCAGCTATTCCCTCTGTTTTAAGTAGATGTTCTGCAGAAAAGACATCCTTATGTTCAAAAATTTGATAATGTAACTCCATCTCCGAACATGTGTTCTTCTGAATACATATTCATTATCACTCTGCCACTTCATAAATGGTAATGGTATATTAATGATAAACTATGACGAAAGGAAATATATGTGACGGATGAGCATTAAAAAATTACCATGCACATGACAATGGAATCTTCCTTACAAAACTACTTATAAATTCTTTGCCATTACCGCCATTTATTACCTTCTACCATACGGGTCGTATGTATGTTTATCAATATATGTTTTTTTTTTTTTTTTTTTTTTTTTTTTTTTTTTTTTTTTTTTTTTTTTTGTCCTTCAAACTTGCAATATATCTATCTCATCTGTCAAGCTGTCCTAAGGCAACATTTAATTCTGGCTATTGTGAATTTCAGCAAATTATGATTCTCTATTTCAGCTAGACATCTTTTAAGGGTTTTAACCCCTTCTTTCCTTTATACTCTATATTAGCAAAAAGAATACTGGGTGGGTTGCTAGCCAACTAACAACCAAAGTCACAGCCTCCTAGGCTCATCTGCCCTAAAAATTGAGAAGCTCAGATGGAGTCGTCTGGTGGGTTTAGAGGTACCTTGCACCTTTTGTTCTCTTGGCTCGTCTTCTGATTCTGTTCTACATTTCTCCTTGAGTGCTAAATTATAGTAATAGTGAGGAATAATTGTTATGGATCCACTTGTGCAACCGGTCCAATTTCTCCAAAAAGGCCCAAACACCTATCTAGGTCTACCAACGAAGGCCCAAGCACAACAACCACAACAACAATCCCAACGGTAAAGAGGGTGAAGCAAACAAAGTCAAACAGCAAAGCTAGAATTGGAAGGAGACATGAAGAACAGAGCTTTTGGGTGGCAAGCCGAATTGGGAAAGAAGACAAGGAAGACAAGCCATGGGAAGAAGACACTTTTGTGTTATCTCTTTGTTTTGCTTTTGACCAGATGACAATCTTAATTAATGTTAGGGCATTGTAATTGTTGAGAGTAGTTTGTGAGGAAGTAGCAACCATCCAGAAATTAAGTGAAACCTTGGTGAGATTAGTAGCCTCAAGCTACCATGAGAGTTATAGCCTAAAGCTGTATTTACCCTTCGTTGAATCTGTAATTCGAACTAGTATTGTGTTAAATTAATTAAATTGTGCTAGTGAAAATCTGGTCCATCACAATAGTATTGTTAAATAGTGATAATTTTGTTATTCTTGCTTTCCTTTCTCAATATACTCTTCTATTTGCAGCAAAACTGTACAACTAATTTGCATGTGTATGTCATAACGATTAACTTGTAATTTTTTGATACAGGTTCATCCAAATGTTCCCTGCATGCTGTTTACTCCTATCTGTCCACACTCGCTTTCATTTAGGCCAGTGATACTCCCAGATTCTGCACGACTGGAGTTGAAGGTAAAGTTGAATTTTTTGCATATATTTATATGATAGATTATGTTGCTTCCTGAAGTTTTGACATCAATTTTCCACCCACACTATAAACTAATTATAACATATAGACGATATACCTTCATACATTATACTAGTGGTAGTTGTGGCTTCAGTATGTTGGCTAAGCTATGAGAATGTGAAACATTATGGAACCCTTTTTTACAGAATGATTTACTCCGTTTTCTTTGGATGTACCCAACTACCATAGACTCTTGTTCATAGGAGAAGGTGAGTGGGTGTAGAAAAGGTGGATTTAACAAGAAAGAGGTTGTTAAAAAATGGGTTGGTGTTATAAAACAACAGCAACAATAACAAAGCCTTAGTCCCATTATGATTTGGGGTTGGCTAACATGAAAACAACAACAAAATCTTAGTCCCAAAATGATTTGGGGTCAGCTAACATGAATCGTCATAAGGAAATATCCAACAGAAAAAAGAATATAACAAGATAACTAGTTGAAAAAGTTTGAAAAGAGGTGTGTAAAGTGAGAAAAAAGGAGCATCCAAGTAAAATTTAAGAAAAGAGTACTAAGAAACAGTTTAAGAAAGTTTTAAAGGATTGGTAAAAACGTATTGAGTAAAAAACATAATGGTTTGAGAAAAAATTTAGCAAAGGAAATCAACAAAGTTTATAAAACACGAATTGAGTAAAATAACAAAAGTAAATGCTAAGATAAAATAAACACAATTATATATATAATTATGACATGTTGACGTGAATTTACTCCCTCACAATAAAAGTAATTGCGAAAAGTCGTGTCCTCAGTTCTCACTGCATCTTTCGTTATGTAATGGTGCCTACTCCCTGCGTTAGGGTTTTTTTGTCCCTTGAGCCTATTCTTTTGTCAAATTGGGCAAAATCATTTTACTAATTAATTATATAATTAATAAAACATGTTATTTTAAGTATTCATTCACCAAATAGGTACCTCTAACTATATGTTGAATAAATTATAACTGAAAAAAGTATTTAAGTGATGCTAAAACCTGTTACTGTGAAGTTTGCTGGCCACAATCAGTTTCATTATTCGTTACAGGTTGTTTTCGTGACAATGCAAACTGTTACCACTATCGTAATGATTTTATTCCTTGGGATTGGGTTATCAAATTTGAGAACAATTCATTGTACTGTTGTACATGCTAGTTTTGTTAGGTCTTGTGATGCAGCAGTTCTACTCCTTCTAGATAACATCTACAATTGATTTATATAGCTACACTGGAAAAGTTTTAATATTAGATTGATGCAGTACTTATTTATGGCCAATTACTTTATTTATTTATTTTTTTTTACTTTGGGGTAGTATTCATTCTGGAATTTAATCACTGGTGAATTGTAAATCAGGTTCCTGACGACGCAAGAAGCAATGCATGGGTATCCTTTGATGGAAAAAGAAGGCAACAACTCTCTCGAGGAGACTCGGTGCGGATATCGATGAGCCAGCACCCAATCCCGACAGTTAACAAGGCAGATCAGACCGGCGATTGGTTCCACAGTTTAATTCGTTGCCTAAACTGGAATGAGAGGCTTGATCAGAAGGCCCTTTGAAACCTCTCCAAGGTTTTGTGGTGACTTGACAGGTTCATGTAAATTGCTGTACATAATTTTTGTTAATTATAGTCTGCAAATATCATAATTATAGGGTTTAACAATACCACTTATTTCCTACTTTGGCTTCCAACGTAAAGTTACCGGTTGCCACGTCATTTTTTATCTACACAATTTTTTTTGAAGTCACACTGTATACTGTTTCAGTCCATACATATATAATAACAAATTCACTTATTTTTCTCTAGCATAATAGAGATCTTTCTTCTGTTATTTTCATTGGAATTTGCTTCAGTTGTAAATAACAGGAATTTCCCAGATCTCAGAAGAGAATAAACCATTGAAACTTCCAACTCGAAATTTTTTTCTCATCAAAAGGTATGTTGAAGCTGATTAACACCGTCATTATATGACACATTTTGTTTTCTTATAATAATTTAGCTCTACTTGAATCTTATTTGTTTCAGAATTGGTTCTCTGACAATGCAGTTCCAATCTAGTTGAATGGGTGTACTCCCTAAGAACTAACCTGGAATCAAATCATTATTTATTAAATTAAACCCAAAACATAATTTGATTGGATCTAGAACATACCACTAGGTTGTAGTTTAGTAATCAAACTACTGCAACATGCATCTTGCCTCACTTGCTAAACTAGCACTTTGTTTTCTCCCAACTGAGGCTTCCTGCTTCTTTTGTCATGTTGAACTGCATTATTCTGTGTAGTACTGCCCGCATTTGATTAATGTAATCAAAGTTTAGTGATTTAAAAAGAATAAAATATATCATAAATTTGTAAATGAGTTATGGAAAATAATATTTTTCATATGAAAATCTATTTGTTAGATATCGTATTAAAAAAATTGTGAAATTTGACAAAAGTTTATTATACTTCGTGTAAGTTAAATGAAGCCTAGTTATATTGAGATGGGAGGGATGTATGATAGACATGCTTAACGTAGCGAGTTAAAAAAGCGATGGCTGTGTGCCTACATGTTGTGGGGGTAATTATCATGGCTGTGGTTATACTTGACTTTAAGGACTTAGATCAAATCTATTGCTCCTCTTAGATTTATTGTACTTTGAATGAGAAGAGCAGAAATAGAAGAGAGTAGGAGAGGAAATCTTATTGGAACAAGTCAGGAGGTAGTTAACCAGAGTAACAAGGACATTTCCTTGTTTCTTCAGTATAGAGTTGACTATCTTTGCAGCTTTGAAATAGAATCTATTGCACAAGTAAATCTATCGTGAGCGGGAGCAGGGTGAAGGCCAGTGCTCTTGGTGGTCTTACAAAAAAAAAAGCATACTTATTCAACCTTCTAGTGCATTCAATTTGGAGGCTTTAGCCCTACCGTGGCCTGTGGACACTGGACAATGAGATGGATATTACTATTTTTGTCCTTTACGAGTCAGTTTTTGTATCGATTGCTACTGCTCTGTGAGGTGATTGAAAGCGCAACCAAATATTAAGTGGAGGTCCATAACATATTTTTGATGAGATATTCATAAGTTGAGGGGATCTTTAAATGATGAAATGTTAGTAGGGTTCTTAGATCAGTAGTGTGTCTGGCCTATGCTTTGGCAGTGGAATACCCGAAAGCAGAGGAAAAACTGGGATTCTGTATTAAGTTTTTGTCTTACTTCCATTTTCCTATTGGTATAGGCTGAACAATATTGCTCCCTGATTTTGCAGTAATTTATCAAACAGTAAAAATTTAGCTTCTAAATACTAATGGTTAAATACGAAAGCTGGTAGTATATAAGGACTGCTACAACGATTTATGAGTATGTTTCACTACGACGATGAAGATTTCAATGAGATAAGCTAAGAAAAAAACCGAAGAGATGCCGCACTGTAATCTATAGCTCTATATAAGAAATATCTGTTGCTGCTGAATGAGCTGATATATATGAATATCTGCTTATACTTTGCTTCAGGCCTCCAGTTGCATGCCTTTTTATCTATTTATTTATTTATTTTTATTTTTTTTATCACGTACTCTGCATTAGTTTCGCAATTATGAATCATCCACAAATCTCTTCTTGCTGTTTGACTTTATGATTTTGATCTATATAAATAATTGCTGCTTTCATGAGGGTGAACATATATAAGAATATTGCGTGCAACTGAGAGAAACTTCTGCATTTCTTAATGAATCTGAATCATAATTTCCTGAATGATATAGTCAAAACTTTTAAAATGATGTAAACCGAAAAAGGAATTAACTGTGCTGTATTGCTTGGGGAAGTATCAGAAACAAACCAGAAGTACTCCATACGTAATAAGCAGCGATCAGAAACAAACCATAACTGTGCTGTATTGCAGGAATTAACTTCTGCTTTCATAAGTCAGGATTACTGATACCGCAAAAAATTAAAAAGAAGTCTAGATTACAGAATAAGGATACATTAATCCAACTTCTTAACACCATACCACTTCAAAGGCATTTACCAACCCACAATTAGAGGGTAGAATGCTTTAAAAAAACACAAAAAAAAAAAGGAATAAAGATTAAAAAATTACTGATGGAACTTTGTGTTCCAACAGTTATATTATGTGCTTGAAGTTAAAATATAGAAAATTTACACAGCCTTAACCGCTAGAAACCTGGGCTCTTTAGGCAGGAACTTCTGTTCTGTGTAAACAGACATGTAGTCTCCAAACAGAAACCTTGGATACTTGACACTTTCCTTGGGAGATTTCTCCACCTCCTCTTCCTTGACCTTCTCGACGAGCTGTGGGGCTGGGGCAATGGATGCCTTGTAGGATGGATTGTAGAACGAGGCAATGGACCGCCTAATTCCTTCAAGATTAGGCAAAACCCGATGCCAGGCACTCTTGTACTTTCCATTGCTTAGGACTTCGATCTGATCTCCTGTATTGATGACTATGGCATTAGGAACAGGCTGCACTTCGATCCATTCTCCATCCTTAAGCATCTGTAAACCACCAACTATGTCGTCTTGGAAGAGCAGGATCACCCCACCGGCATCTGTGTGGGCTCGCAGGCCTGTCACGAGCTCAGGGTGGGGGCAGGGTGGGTAGTGGCTCACCTTGGTGCCAAAGAAGGCAGTCTCATCCACTTCTTCACTAGATTCTCCACTGTTGAAGGCCGCCTTGATGTAGCCTTTTGGCAGACCAAGATTCTCATCCATTATTTCCGTCAGTTTTTCTGCAAGTTTCCTCAGTTCTGCTCTGTACTCTGTCATTGTCTCCCTGTCATACACATGATTGTTGATATTATTAAATATCATAGTCCATAATTAATAATTCAACAAACAATAATTATATCCTTATTAGGGATGATTAAAAATTTCCGAGATTTGAAGATCTTTGTCAAGCTCGGATGCTTTTTTATGCTATTATATTGGACCAGTATAGACTGTAAGTAAAAATGTTTCTGAAAACCAAGAAAAGAGATTTTGCAGTGGAAGAAAACTGCTTACTTGAATCCAGGAAGATTTGATGGCCATTCATTATCATCAGTAAGAAGGAAGACATCTTCCCAATCAACATCATCCAATTTCTCTTCACTTTTGCTCTCGACGATCTCATTCAGCCTTGTCACAGGTTTCGACTTCTTGAAGTTTTCTTCTCGTTCGAGCTTGTAACAATCAGAGCTGATTTTCTTAACTCTCTCCAGAAGCTCCTCTGAAATCCCATGATTCACCAACTGCAAGAAAAATGCTCTTCTTTAGCAAACTCTTTTTAAGGCCAATACATTATAACAAAATGATCAAAATTATACTATAAGCAATAAAGTACCTGGAAGAATCCCCATTCTTCACATCCATTATGGATCTGAGCCATGGTAACAGCCCTCTCTTCGCCATCAAGCTTCGAAAAATCGTACACGGGAACCCCCATTGTGATTGTAGAAGATATGTTAAGAGAGAAAGGGAAAGAGCAAGAGAAAAAGTTGTGTATGATTTTATGTTTTTCTTAAGCTTGCTATGCTGTGTGTTAGAATATGGGTGGAGGTAGAGGCTATTTATAATGCTAACTTTCTTCCCAAAAAGTGGGATTATTAGTCAATCATAGCCCTCTTTTTTTTTTTTTGTTAAAATAATGATTTATTTTTTGAAGTGATAGGAACTGTGAGGCCTTAATTACGAGATACAGTAATTATTAGTTATATTAATTACATAAAGCAAATTATAGTTAGGTCAATGCTACTAGTACACGCTTACTTGGTTAGTTATAACAAAAGCATAGTCAAGTTTAGTGTCATTGATGAGGCAATGTTATTTGTTTAAAAGAATATAAAAACTTGATTGTCAAACTCTATGATATATTAGTATGGGATTAGCTAGTATAGTCCCAAACCTTTTCAGAGTTGTCCGTTAAAATATAACATAAAAAAAACTTGGTTAAAAACCTAAATCAAGAAAAAAAAATATGTATAAAAGAAAATGTTTTGTACTTAAGAACTTTTGAGTCATAAGAGTAGTATACATCTAATATTTAGGTAAGGTAAATATTTTACATTATATTAGTACTGCAAAATATTTTGTAGTGCTTTGTATAAGCGTGTTTAGACAATAAAAGACGTGTAAGCATACTAATCAAGCTAATGAATGGTGAAAATTTTAAAACAATTACTAACATTGTTTTAGTTTGCACAATAATCTAGATTAAAGTACTACTTTATAAACTTCAATGAACGTATTTTAGTAAAAACGTCTAAGATTTCATTTGTGTGTTGTTATGGTTTCTAACTTGCATAGGAATATGGATGCAAGTTATTTTGACGGGAAGTTGGTGCAATTTGAAGTTTGACTTTTTATATTATTAAATGGCAAAAACAGTCAACTACTAGTTCATAATACTCATAATATACGGAGTATTCTAATGTATTTAATGATGCATTAGTTTTAGTAATGATAACACTAATATGGAACATTTTGAACACAATACAACCATTGTATATTGTTTTTACATACAACACCACTAAAAATTTGACACATCATTAAAAAAAGAGGGGTGAAAATTTAAAGTCAAATGTAAATTGAATTTTAATGGAACTTGGGCCCATTATTCTAGCCAATAAAAACATAACAAATTAAAGTTGTATATTGGGGCCACATACAACAATTGTATGTGTAGCCTTTACCCACAAAAAATATAATATGGGGTTTTACACATTCTGTTTATGAAAGTAGTTAGCCTTCACTACGAGGATACCAACCATATTGTAGATGCTACGACACCACGTTTAGTTGTTTAATTTCCGCCCTCTCAATTTCATTAAAGATGACATTCTAAGTAAGCGCGCAATAGAACTAATAACTTCTTTTAAGAAAATGTGATTGTACCAAATCGAAGTTGTACCATCTATTTTCAAGGTTGCACAAAAGTTTCTTACTTCCAAAGCCTTAAGCTTGCTCATATGATCTGTGTTTGCTTAGAAATCAAAATTCTACCGACTAATACTCTATTATAGCCCTAATTCAGGTTGACCACCAAATTAAAATATATTCTAAATTAAGATAAACTCCACTCCTCCTAATTGACTTTTAACACATGGGAGGTTTGCTTTTTGAATATCAACAGTTATTAACTAATTAATTAAGATAACTTAATTGTCGGCATAGTAGGAGGGCCAAGTAATTAGAACACTTTAGAGCCATAAAACCAACAGTCAGTAACATAAAAAGTCATCATCAATCTTTGTCTACTTTGTCAACCCATTATCTTCCTACTATTAGTTTGTTAATTATCCATTAGAATTGAACACGCCTTCTACTACCCTAGTTCGGATTTAATTGTCACACGAAACTTTGACATTGTGTTAGAAACAAAATGAAAGTTGTCACTTTTATAATCAAAATAAAATGCGTCTAAGAGCGTCTCAATTGATGTCCCTTAAATAATTGATGACAAGCCTTAGGTTGCTTCATACTCTCTCCGTATTTTTTATAGGCTAGAGATGAGATTGCGCGGAGTTTTAGGTGGTTTAATAAAATAAGATGTTAGTGGGTAGATAAAATATTATTTTATTGAAAAGTAAAGTGGTGTAAGAGAGAGTGGGGACCATTGGAGGAGTGAGAAATGATAAAGTAAGAAAGAGTGGGGACATTAGTGGGTAAAGATATATTATTAAATTGTAAGAGATTTCTTTTAAATGGAATTCTAACTTATAAAAAAAGGATGAAAATAGTAACTCTAGCTTATTAAAAAAAAAAAAAAAAAAAACAAAGGGAGTAATATTTCAAGCTAATTTAATTTAATTTTCTCTCCCGTTAATTTGTCTCTCAATGGTTTGCTACTATGAGTAATTTGCTATTTAAATGTGTTTTACTTGTTATATGAATAGTTAACTGTTGGAAATAAATGCTAAGGAAGGTTTTTTGTTGTTTTGGAGGAAAACCCTTTGTTCCACATTGGTGGGATAAGGAAGCTTTACTTGTTTTATATATTGGGAGAAAGGGGTTGTTGTCCTACATTGGTGGGAGAAGTATATTTTACTTGGTTAAATATGTGTGTTCATACTTTGATGTTTGAAGTGCTTTCCCTATTGTTGTGGGCTAGAAGGGGGCATCCCCATGCGCGCGTCGCCGTCCGGCCAGTTCGTGTTCGTGGCACGTCTTTTAAACGTTGTAACTGTTTGCTGATTTTCCTCCACGATTATTTACGTGACTTGATTATCTCCAGCAGTTACGGTTTTCTTCTTCTTTAAAAACTGGTATTTTCGTGGCTTTTGGAGAACACAAAAATTCTTTCATCTTCTTCCTCTTTTGTTTTCGGTTTTCCTCTACAATTGTTCAGAGCATTTGGTGAGTTCCTAATCTCTCTTTTTGAGTGCACATTAAGGGAGATCGCTGTGTTAAATCTTGAAGGGCAACGCCATCTCCGATTGCACCATAGTCGGGGCGAATTTTACTTGTAAGACAGTGTTTCTAACATGTCACAACGTTTTACATACATTAAGATATTCGGCCCCCATTCAATCTTTATTTTCTAATTTTACAGTTTTTCAACCTACATTAACTGCCATTCTTCATCCTTTTGTCAGGCAATTTGGCCGGACTTATTCCAATTATTACTCTAACGGTCAAAATAGTAGTTTAACATTTACAAGCAATCCATAGTTACAATTATTGAAAATGTTGCTTATTGATTTTTAATGATATAATAACTAAATTTAAATGCTCGCAATATATGTTTCAAATTTCAGAAAAATGCACAATAACAATTATTGTTAAAAGTAAAGACATATTAGATATTTTAGATGGACACCAAACTTCTCAAGAGTCGACTTATATAACAGAGATAAATTAAATAGATCGCCACAATTTTAATGCGTGAAAGTAAAATACTTCGTACTATAATCATTTCAAAATCCAAAAGTAGAGTTATAGCTCTATTATTTTATAAAGCAACAATATATTAGCCGTCCGACAAAATGTGAATAATATTCTTAAATGGAAGATAATTGGCACAGTTGGCACTATTGTAACCATCTGATGCTGTTAACTATGATTTGCCCTAATAAGTAGAAACATTATTGGAGACGTGGCAGTATTATCACCGCCAGATAATTACTATATTTAGGAAATAGAAAATCCATCGGTTGGAATTTGTTTTATTTGGGTTTAAGTTTTTAAAAAATTAATAAATGGAAGAATAATAATTCACGGTGTGGTTGCCTGATACTAGTTGTACTTATACAGTTGTACTGTAAGCTCTTGCCTTGTCCTTTTAAGACACTGTTACTAAAACTCTACTGTACATTTAACTGTTAGATTTGCATGTATTGGATGTGGTTTTCCTTTCTTAAATTATTGTAGTTGTTTAGTTGCAAGGTAATAATGTATACAAGATTTATCCTTAAGAATGTAACCAGCTAAAATAGTTGCAGTTAGAATCCACATTATAAATTGATAAATCAAGCTTCATTTTCAACATTGGAGTGCACTATAGTCGATTTAATTAGGTCATTGATTGTATTACCTAAACCGTAAAAGACATATAAAAGCGCGCGGTCAAGTTTTGTTTGGTAAAGAGAAGTTTGACCAAAATGAGCTGATTTGACCTACATAAAAGGTTAAGTCCACTATTTTAGCTGTTTAGTAAATAGTTGAATTAATGAGCTTGTTGAGTTAAACATAAACCCTCTAATATATTGTTGGTAAATATGAGATTTTTATGCTATATATATAGTTATGAAATTATTTTAGCCAAATAACAACTTTGTGTTATACAAAGTAGTTACTGAAATTTATATCGCGATTTATAACCTTATTCTAGTACTTATGTATCATATTACATTATTACATGTTCAAATAATAAAATAACTACAAGATTTCAACTAATTTTACTAAACGTTTTTTGTACCAACACTTAATACAACCAGTTAATCAAAACCATCAATGCAATAAGTTTCAACTAATTATTAGATAGCTAAACCATAATTATTACAATCTCATTTTTGCTTTACTATAAACGCGTGTTTGTATTGGAATTAGTTTTACTATAAATACGTGTTTTAGTTTGTAGTGCAAATCAAGCGTAGCTATGTAAAAAAATTAAATTATAAATAAACTACAGCCAAAGTACATAAAACATGAATATAATAGGAGTGATTAACTGATTATTGTCCTACAATAGTACTTTGAATCAAAAGTGCATGTGGTTTGTACGACATAGGAGTTAAAAGATAGACACATTGCAGAGTCAAATTAAGGAAACTAATTAACCTAGATTAAACTAATCCATTATTTGCCTCGAGAAGCGTTCCCAACTGTCAACCGTTGCTTATACATGTATAAGGTTGTTAAGCTAGATTAGAGATTTAATTAGAAAAGCTAGTGATTAACAATTATAAAATAATCAAAGTGGCATGCTTCATGTTTCGAGAAAAGAAAGAGTAGAAACAAAGTGATATTGTAAGGTAATGAAATGGCCGTTAATAATGTTGAAAGATCACTAATAATAATAATAATAATAATAATAATAATAATAATAAATAATAATAATAATAATAATAATAATAATAATAATAATAATAATAAATAATAATAATAATAATAATAATAATAATAATAAGGTGATGAGTCAAAATTTTCAAGTTGCAAATGATTAACTAAATTTCCCACGAAAGTGTTACAGAACTTGTCTAAAATATGAGTGGTTATTAGCTGGCTAATTTTAACATTTCTTGACAATATAATGATGTGATTTTGGAC